AAAACAACACTGATTACACGTGTTTTTAACTGATTTTAACTGATTTTGACTGATTTTAACCTCGTAGGCTTTAAAACAACACTGATTACACGTGTTTTTAATTGATTTTAACTGATTTTAACCTCACGGGCGACGGATATATACGTGCTTTAAGTTTATTCTATATTACTTAGTAAGACGGCTTAGATATATGGTATAATAGCCGACTCGTATAGTACATATAATACAGCTGGACGCTTGAGAAACCCTCCGTTCGGGTGCTCCTCGGGCGCTCTCACATCCCAGCCATTCCTCCCTAAGCAGCGAGTTTTTCCTCGAGAGTTTTACTTTCAGGGCAAGCAATCTATATCAGCAGTATTTTCTAAAATGCCTTCGAACTTCGATGCAAAGAAGTCGCGCATTTTGAAGCAGCTTGCTGAGCCTTGTGAGTCGTATAATGATTCCTCACCAAAAGGAACGATCGATGAACCCATCAGATCTCTCATAGACGATATCAACAACAGAGAAGGCTTCGTGACAACGAGTAGCTGTTCTGGTAGAATCAGCGTTTTTCTCGAGGGATCCAGGCCAGTTGAAAAAGCTGACGTCCAAGCGAACAGCCAAGCCGATACTATACGGTCGTCTGTTGGGGGTAAAGGCGGAGGCTCTTGGCGATTTGTATCTCATAAGCCTGTGAAGCTCTGTAATGAAAACTCAGAGGTTGATCTGCATAATGCATTTGGTATGCACCCGAAGCAAAAGCTTCCTTCCGACATGGAAAGCTCTACTCGTTATGTACACCTAAAGTTCGAAGCAATGGTATGCAGCTTCCCATGCCGCGCTGGACGTATGCTCATTTCAAGATAGATTTTACACGTCCTTTCAGCTACAAATACGTATGCACAAGAAATGCTCGCTGCTGCTCTTGCTTCGGGGTTCCGCGAGAGTGGAGCAGTGGGACTTTCATCGTCCACCCAACAAGAATCAACCCCTACTGTTGCTGTTCGGTCAACAGGACTGGGTTTTGATGCTATTATCGGATACGAGATATGCGAAGATGGTGTACAACGAATTCAATCTCTTGTTGATGAATCCTATCTTCGTATCTTGGTAGGCATTGCTAACAGCCGATTCCGTATCAACTCAGAAAGAATCGCCAGGTTTCGCGATAGTCTATTCAGGGTTCGACTCAGCAACATTATTGACGAGGGTAATCAGTTTAAAGCCACAGTTTGGGAAGACCCTGTTGCAAGAAGAGAGAGGAAACGACAGGAAGGCTTACAACGGCAGCAAAGACAACAATTTGAGAAACTGTGCACCAAAGAAGATGTGCTCGGGCAAGACGTATACAAAGTGCATCTCTCCGAGACTTCATCTCCATACCCATCTCCATCTTAAAAATCCATCATCATCTCCTCTGGTAGCAGAAAAGCGCTAGGTTATTGCTTTCCAAGTTTCGACCAAAATATCCAAATGCACCTATTGCACCAAGTTAATGTTTCACCGAGGGCGTCCAGCACTCGAAATGTCGCCGAGCTACGCGAAGCGGGCCTCTCGGATAGTTCCAGCCAGACCGGAGACTTCCATCTCGGCCCTTAAAACAATCAATGTGCCTAGATATCTCGCATATAAGACGACTTAGAACCACGCATCTGCATCAACTCAACAAATACTCTTTCAATTCACAAGCTATCGCTCACTTCACATATCCGATCAGCAGAACGCGCGTTCCACCCAAAGCACGATGGGCATTGAAGATGACAACATTAAGTATTTCCGGTATGTGACACGCTCGACGATGACCCGACTCGTATTGTGTGTAGCACACGGTTTCTTCTGGTGGTGTCTCTGCTTCTCTTGAAATGTACCAGGGGCTGGTAGCTAATTGTCCGTGACCTGTACAGGGACAAAGTCGAATGGTACGACAACAATCCCAAGAACAAAAAAGTACAAGAGGCTGTTTCGAAAGCTTTTGAGGATTATCACTCCTGGATTGGAGTCAATTGGATCACGCCGGAGGAAAGGTTGGCTGAGAGCAGAGAGGTCCGCTTGTTGGACTATGCTTGCGGTACTGGAATAGTGACACGAGTCAGTTACGTGGCACCGTCTTAGGATATTGCTAACTATCATCTCAGCGACTTGGACCCCACATTACTCACGCCATAGGTATTGATATAACGCCCGAAATGGTGGACGCATTCAACAAAAAGGTGTCTGATGCGGGTATACCGTTGTCAAATATTTCGGCAGTAACAGGCAACCTCTTGAGAGATCCAGTGGAGCCTGTAGAACTCATGCAGGATAAATACTTCAACTTCGATATCGCCTGTATCGGGTTGGGTTTCCACCATTTCGAAGATCCTGCAGATGCCGCAAAAAAGCTAGCAACACGCCTTAAGCCAGGAGGTGTACTACTTCTGATCGATCTTCTGTCAGATGACGGAACTGCATTTAATGATCACGATGCAGTCAAATCCATCCAGAAACATGGCTTCACGGAATCTGATATGCAGAAAATATACGATAATGCAGGCCTGTCAAGGTTCAGCTTCAAGGTCATGGACGAGAAGATGGTCTTGGAGGGTAAGAACGGGCAGAACGTTTCAAGGACATTATTCTTTGCCAGGGGTGAGAAGCTCACAGGCTGAACTACTATATTTCGAGCCAAGCGAAGGGAAATCACGCAATCTGCATATTATTGTACCATCATTCTTTCCGTAGAGATGAGGTGTGGGCGTCATCAGGGGTCGAAAGTGAAATCTACAATTCTATATAGCCACTAGGTTCTGCATAAGTCCATCGTCTTGTGCCAACTCACCGCTTAGAGCCAGTGAATACATCAAGGTAACATCAGAAAGCTAGTAGTTAACACATAGCCTTATGAATGCTATCTATACATTTGATTGAGCCCTACAAATCACACATGCTAGGCGTTGAATAAGCACATTTGCATATTGATCAACAGCATATAACTCATTTCAACGAGACGTTGTTTAACCCAACCAAAGAGTCTCGCTGATACACGATGCCCGATAGCTTACGAAACGCTTCTGAAACAAGAAGACGGTTGCTCCACTATAATGTTGGTTTGATGAGGGAAGTTTGAGCTTCTTATAAGGTATCCCTACACAGTCGTGGCAGCAAGCAGCGTTCAAGGTGTCTTACTACTTTAAAATTATTTCAGAGTAAGCTAACATTGTTTTTCCTTTATATTCGTGACGTATACAAGTTAATCGTATTGTGTTTCACGAATACTGAAGCTCAGAGGGAGTTGCAGATGCCTAGCATAATACATAGATCTGATTAGACCCATTGCCTGAGATACAAAACTGAGCGCTCTGTGGCGCGAAGTTCTCTCGGTGGTGAACTCCGTAAAGTCTCTTCGTAGAGAACATAGTGGTATGACCTGTATGACTACGGTACGCATAGATCAACATTCCGCACGGTGTTTAACATTTATCTATAATTTTTAGCATTTATACACTATGATGATCATAGGTGTGGTTTCATATATAAGTATACAAAGAATATAGATAAGTACTGAAGAGTGCAACAGACATATTATGGCCGGTTTGGATTGAGTTGACTGCATAGTTTTATCAATAATTGCTATATAATACCATACTAAGCGTTCCAGCTCTGAGAGCTTCAGGCACTTCTTTGGTAATAACTTGTTGGAGAAACAGGGTACGTATAATCACGTCTGCTGTAAGAACCCCCTAAACTACGCACACTATCATATCCCCATGGGACCTACCAGGCCAAATCCTGGACCAACTTACAAATCGGCAACTCGACTAGACGGTCGCTGAAACACCAAGGACGTCACCCATATGAAGGACTTTATTGTACCAGAACAAGACATGGCATGGCGCATGAAGGACGTTCTGCATATAGCTCGAAAGTTGATAATCTACGCTATCGTGGCCAACACGCACATAGCAAAGCCCAAAGGAGCCAGCAAACACAGCAGTCAGTATCTTCATGACCTATACTTAATACTATCTGTGCTAGCTATAGGTCCTCGCGTTTTGATCCCAGAAGATCCACCTGCCCAAGGATAAGCATTACGTGGGCTGAACACAAGGGTCTGGTCCAGAATTTATCATTGCAAGTGCAACCTACGCTGGAAATCTGAGTACTTGACAAGCTTGAAGAGACTAGTGCACCGGAACTAACAAACCTAGACCATGTCTTGCTGACTTATAGGGACATCTTGAGCAAAATGCAGACAAACGGAGAGAACAACCAAGATCAGCAGCTCAATAGTAAACATGGAACCAACTTACTTGATAGTATCGCATACTCACTTCTGAATAGACCAGTCTCCAGGATCCCCTACCGTCATTCCTGCCCTCAAGGTTGAATATCCACCAACATCATCCCAAGCCAAATTCAAAGCAGGGAACTACGTGCAAACAGTGAGTGTATCCATGCGTGCTAACACACCTTCATCCAACATAACGAGCTATCTTACCTAGCCAAGTATTATATAATACACGACTAGGTGGAGTCGGCAAAATTCGGCGCCGCTGCATTAAGGTAATCACGCGAGCTCTCCGTCCACGGCCGATCCGTCGGCTGTACATGATTGGCATGTGATTGACATTACAACTTCACGGCCGGCACGGAGGACGCGATCTAAGGGGATCCGATTTAGCTTGTTTCTCAATTCACGGAGGAGAGCAAGTCACATGTGTGCCGGTGGAAGAAGTGGTTACCGACGAATCAGATGGTGTGCTCATGAGAAGGAAATTGAAGCTTCACAGGCTTTTGGATGTGCGAGGACAATATCGCTGGTTTCAATACGCCGTAGTTACTTTACAATATATAGTAGTTAAACGATCATGGGACGAGTTTAAAAGTGGCTTGGTATCTATAACTTGGCTGCGCCGACAGGAGAACCCACGTTTGTAATCTCGTTGTAGAGAAGTCTACGATTTTGTGTCAGCATATGCACATATCCAGATCTCAGGAGGACACTTACGATGTCAAGAACTCTGCATAGTCCTGTCCAGTCACTTGGCCCTCAAAGTACTTTGCCGCAAGTTGGAACTTGTTGCCCTTAGGTGCCCTGCTCTCCAGCTCTTTAGACTGCTCATGTAACAACTTGAGTGCATACTGCGGCGTGACCTTGACACCCTCCGCCGTCGCGCTTCCGTGCTTACACCACTGCCACAGCTGACTGCGGGAGACCTCCGCCGTCGCCGCATCTTCCATTAGGAAGTTGATCGGCACGCAGCCCACCCCGCGCAGCCAGCCCTCCATGTATCCGAGCCCGATGTTCAGATTCTTGCGAATGCCCTCTTCAGTTATCTTACCCGGTACGTTCATGTTCAGAAGGTCGTTACGTGTAACATTGACCTCCTCACGACGTACAAAGAGTTGATTTGGGGTTGGCATGTGGGTATTGAAGACCTCGTTGGCAATCTCAGCAAGCGCAGGATGTGCGACCCAGGTTCCATCATGGCCAGCGCGTACTTCGCGGAGCTTGTCGGCGCGGACGCCGTCCATAGCGAGGTCGTTGGCTTTCTTGTCATTCTTGATTGGGATCTGGGCAGCCATGCCTCCCATGGCATGGACTTGTCGTCTATGGCAGGTCTTAATTAGAAGGCGTACGTAGGCATCCATGAAAGGAACGGTCATGGTCACGGCAGATCGGTCTGGTAGAACGAAGTTGGGGTTTTGGCGGAAGCGCTTGATAACACTGAAGATATAATCCCAGCGACCGCAATTTAGACCTGAACTGTGATCACGGAGTTCATAGATAATCTGGGCGGCTATTAGCTATGATATCTGCATAATTGACTGACATAGTTACCTCGTCCATCTCGAAAGCAGCCATGATAGTCTCGATCAAAACAGTACCACGAATGGTTCCACGGGACATGCCGATGTAGTCCTGGGCGAAGTTGAACACATCGTTCCAGAGACGTGCCTCCAAGTGTGACTCCATCTTTGGAAGGTAGAAATATGGGCCTGCGCCACGCTTTACAAGCTCATTGGCGTTGTTGAAGAAGTAGAGACCGAAGTCGAAAAGCCCACCGGAGATGGCAGCTCCGTCCACAGTGAAGTGCTTCTCCTCGAGGTGCCATCCTCGAGCTCTCGCAATGAGAGTCGGTAGCTTACGGTCAGTGCGTAGTTTGTATTCCTTCTCGCCTTGCTTAAAGTCTACTTGCCTGCGTATGGCGTCGTACAGGTTAAGCTGTCCGTTGATCATATTGTCCCATGTTGGGGCGCTGGAGTCTGATTGTGTTGATCAATCATAGCATTCTCTCACGTTTCAGAAATCTCATACCTTCGAAATCAGCCATGTATGTCCACACATCGGCGTTGAGAGCATTGACAACCATCTTCCTATCCGTGGGACCGGTGATCTCGGTCCGCCTATCCACCAGGCCAGGGGCTGGTGGTGCTCCTTTCCAGGCATCATTGTCCCTGATATGCTTGGTCTCTGGGAGGAAATCGGGAAGGTTGCCTTTGTCAAGCTCAGCCTGACGAATCTGACGGCGTTCGAGAAGAGCCTTCCGTCGCTCATTGAAAGTTCTGTGTAGGAGGGCTAGGAAGACTGCGGCATCTTTGTTCAGGATCTGGCGAGTCTTATCATTGAGCTGGCCGAGGATATTGACATCACGGAGAATGAGATCTGGGTTGGAGGGAGGCATGCTGGCTAAGTATATAAGATGTATGCTGCTAATTAGAGATTTAAAGGTCGTGATAGAAGGAGACCCGTAGAAGAGGGGGACACAATAACTACATACTGAGCTAGCAAACGTCACTTGGGATTGTCTGCCGAGGATGATGGACTCCATGACCACAAGCTTTGGAGCTTGGGCCAGGTCAGAGTTCCCCAGGCCCGCGGCCAATTCCTACTGCGGGGCCTGCACTTCCGACAATACCCGCGTCACCCCTTACGTGCACGGTGCTGCTAACTATGAAGAGCCAAGGGGGAGACGGTACAAGTAGGTAATATGCCTATGTGTTGTTCTTGCTCGATGCTGACGAGAACTAATCATATCCTGAACGTGGTATATCAGAGAGATACCTACATTACCAAAGCCGCTAGCGCGAACGACGCGTCATGCAGGTGGCCATTTTAGCGATGATACGCTACAGCACCAGTGAAACGAGATATATAGATCACCTACAGACAACCAATCTCAGACCTGCAAAAGAGTCATGATCATTGTATCGGGATGCGTGGTCGTATGTGATCACCTAAAGCTCTGCCAACTCTCTTGGTGCATTCATCTTACATATGAGCTTGTCTGGCCCCAAAGATCACTGCTTTCTTAAATCATGTCAGGCGTCACATAAATGCGATAGGTCCTGAGGTTGTCGTATAATCAATCGTTGTTGGCATCTTCATTCGTGCCCTCTCTATCTTCGAAATCGAGGAACTCACTATTGCGTTGCCCTGTGACGTGCCTCCATGCGACTTGTACCTGGTCAACTACGGCGTCTTCGAACACTAGATCTAGAGAGGTATGAGGGAGCTCTACAATGTTTCCCGTGACTCGGACACCATTGTCTACTTCTGCTACCTCTGGCAACGGTAGGTTGACCTTGTAGTGAAGCGACCATAGTACTTTCGGTTGTGGTTCCTCCCGAGAAGCCAGGAGGAGTGTATCCACAGCTTGCTTGAGAATCACCTCGCAATCGCATTCGACGGGAGATATACTCGCATAGAGAACACCTGCATATCATTAGCACGGTGTACTATAATGGGCGTGATGCTTATATGAGTTCATGATAGTGTCAGAAGGTCTCGCAAGGTCGTCAATGAAGTTCAGACAATGTAGATAAGGTTGTATGAAGAAATCGTCATCCGAAAAGTTGATAAAAGGAGTTGGCAACTTACTTTGTCCAGTAGGACACTCACCAGTCTCACTTGAATGAACAAATATGTTGACTGGAGGCATGTCTGCAGATGATATCCCTTCAATAGTAAGTGAGCCCGTGGGGAACACAACGACAGCCGCGGCAGGGACAGGAGAGCCCTCGCCTAGGGGAGGGAACAAGCTACGAAGAGGTGATGAAACGATGGAGATCGACCGCAGTAGACCTGGCGCTGAATCCCTTGAGCGCTGCATCGAGTTAGATGGTTGACCGAGAGCTTCGTCACGCGCCCCAACAAGCCACTTGGTCGAGACGCTCTCGCCTCCTCGGAGGTTGAGTGTAATATCAGATGGGCCATCTGGGGAATCTGGCTCTTTGTACTGCCGGCCTTCGATGCCTTTTGCAAGGACATAAGTCGCGCCACCGACAGCGCCAGCTCGACATCCCACCTGTGCAACCTCGGAGAGGCCTCCCCATTTTGGTATGATGGCCCCAAATCCCGGACCGAAGACACCCACAGAACGCAGATGTCTTGCAATGCGTGGCAAGGCATATTCTGTCGACGTCCGATTAGGAGTCATTGATGTCAAAGTCAAGGCACAAATAGGCTCTTGTAGCTTCGGAGACATTTTGAAGTTCTCTATCAAAAGTGCAGAGAAAGGCTGATCGCGATATGGTTCCCATATATCGTGGAGTTCTTCGTAGTCTGTCATGAATCTCAGGAACTTCATCAGTGCTCTTTTGTCTTTTGACCGTAGTGACGAGTCCGTGAATATGTCCTCTCTTCCATTGGGTACTTTCAGCAAAGAGCCTGCGCGTACCGATTCTGCGTCTTCGGGAGAGGAAAAAACCCACCAGCTGCCAACAGCAAGGAAGTCCAGTTGCTTATATACTTTGGAGTCTACGAGCGCACTTATAAGCGCTGATCGTGAGTAAATTATTTGAGGGGACAAAGTCAAGCTGTAGGCGCGAGAGAATGAAAGTTTCGGTCCATCTGTATCATGATTTGGAGGTTGTTGTAACGAGACGCTGGAATAAACAGTACGCGTATGAGAGGGTGACACATCGTTTAACTGTCTGACCCACGTCTCTGCCTCTTGCAAGCTGAATGCAGCTTCTGGGCCTCCATAAAATTCATTCTGGTCAATGTGTAGGACTCTTTTGTCGGAGCGCGAGAGAGAACTTTTTCCATCATGCTAAGTCAGTCAGATTGGAGAAGTGATTGCGGAAATAAGATACGTACAGAGCAAGTAGTGATTGTGGAAGTCCTGTACCAGAGATTATCACATCCCAGGTCGTGTTATGAAGAGTTTCCATTTCGAAAAGATGTGCGAGGGAGCATGTGGGAACAGGCCGCAGCGCGAACCCGTCAAAGTCCTAGCCGTCTACAAGATAGCTGCGTCACGTGAGATAAATTACCGGTCATAATTTTAACGTGATATTTAATACGAACGTGTCTAACATGAAGCAATTTGCATATACACGGTCAAAGAGTCCATGAGACTCTGTCACTTATTTGAACTGGTCCTCGGTCACACCCTTGCCCATTGCACTGGTGCTGCTTACACCACCGCTCACCATCTTCAACAGCTCATCCACATAATTTGCTCCGGACCATTTCTGGTGTGTCACAACCTCCACCTTGTTGACCATCTCTGGCTCCTGAATGAGCTCGCCATATGCTCGCATGCCCTGCTTGGCATATGCCTTGGTAAAGGTATCCGCCATTAGTGCAGTCTGATGCAGACCCGCGAGAGTGATGAACTGCCAGCAGTAACCCATGGAGGCTAGACGCTGAATGTAAGTTTCTTGTTCGTTACGCGGCATTGCAGCCTTCCAATTAAACGATGGAGATAAGTTGTACGCGAGCCTCGATGTATATCAGCATTTATTTAAATTTTTAACTGGATCAGAACTTACTTCTGTTCGGGCCAAACGGCGTGGACACCATCGGCAAATTGCTTCGCTTGCGCATAGTCGGGCAACTTACTCTCCATCCAAATCAGGTCGCAGTAGGGAGCATATGCAACAGCGCGGTTGATGGCACATTCACAGCCACCACGGTACCTGTAGTAACCCTCTCTCGTTCTCGGTGAATCCCAATCGAAGTAAACATCAACACCAGTCAATCCTTTCGCAATTGCGCGGGCTTCCGCGTTGCTCTTACCCTTGGATGCAGTCGTGAATTGACTGATGAGATCCTTCTTGTTCACGTGAACACCGGCGTTGATAGTGTCAATAACAGCCTCGTGGAAAAGCTTGAGACCTGCTTGTGCATTCCATTCGTCTTCTACAGCCTGCAGTTGTGCCCCGTTCTTACCGGCGTTCTCAGCAGCTATCATGAGATCGTTGAGAGGCTGAAGAGCTGGATTGGTCGCACCGAGAATGTAGTGGTGATCGCGAGGGTCAATTGTGGAGGTGATTAGGGTGGCAGCTTCAGAATCCGTGCGCGCTACAGCGAGAAGATCACTTCCCATGATATCGGCCTGCGCACGAATAGCGACGAGACGGTTGATGTGTTCAGCGATCGGAACGAGCACTTTTCCAGCCATGTGACCGCACTTCTTAGTTCCTGGAGCTTGATCCTCAATGTGAATACCCGCAGCACCCTTCTCAATGAAGAGCTTGGTGAGCTTCATGATGGCAGTTAAACCACCATGACCTGTATCGGCATCGGCAATGATGGGGCGGAGGAAGTCGATCTTCTGGAGTTTGCCCCGATCGGCCTTTGCAGTAGTCACACGCTCTTCACGCTGCTTCCTGTCGTGAAAAAGTTGCGCCATGAATAGATGTTGGACCTTGTTCGGGACGGTAGTCTGCCAATTATCAATTTAATGTCTGTCAATTTGTAGAGGTGAATATGTACGTATGGATAATCCGCGAGATCCGGACCAGGTTCATCTGTCGAGCTTGCGGTGGATGAGCTCTGCCATCCGGAGACGTACACAGTGTCCAGGTACTTGGCCATCTGCGTGACCATGACCGGGTCCAAACAGCCGTAGGTGAAGGAAGCCTCCTTATTCTTGAACCTCCCCTCCAGTATGTTCCATAGCTTTTTGCTCAAGACATTGCCTGGATATGATATTGGAATAGTCCCCCTTTTAGCAACAATCTGCTCAGCAGTAAAGGTACGCTTGGTGTATCGCCACCTCGAGTCAGTCCACCACTTCTTAACCTCTGCAACCTCCTGCTGGTACACCTTCTCTTCGTTGTCTGCCATGGTGAGATCGTTTCGAACGAGACGTGAGGAAGAGCTTGTAAGTATGAGCTATAATATAGCTGAGTTTGGGATTGTTAATATGAGTTAGCAGGAGCAATGTAGTCCAGCGTATTTCCACGGGCCTAATAATTACAGAAGATAACTCTAAAGACCAGTCAGAGAAGGTGGATACAACAATCTTCATCCGAGGTATGGTCACGCTAGGGTATATAAAGCTGCATCACGATTGCTCATGCGGCCAGGAAAGACAAGCTAAGAGTATGCCAAAGCGCATTCGGGCCAGACCGGTACTCATAACGAACCATATCGCATGTGCTATTACCTGAATCGTCTGGTGGACGTGACGGAGCTTGTGGATTGGGCCGAGGAATTACGTCGTAGCCGGTCCAAGGGGATAATTGCAGTAAGGGACCAGCTGATGTCATCCGTGACAAGACTCGGTGGCTTCGAGCTTTGCGGACACGGCGGCTGTGAATCATGTAAACATACATCCAGATGATAATAGGAAGTATCGACATCAACCCGCAAGACGAGAGGCATTCACATGCAAGAATCCAGTGGCGCAACGCGTCGCGTTGACAAACCGCTGACTACTGAGCTGCGGAGATTGAATGAAGAATGCGTTGCAATCCCCCGCAGCAGTCTCGTGATTTATGCCGAGGCACAACGGCTGAGGCAGACTGGCGAAACTAGCCGCTCGTATTTTGCGAGCTTTCTGTTTGCTTTCCAGCCTCGTGAATCGTTCGAAAGCACTTTTAAAACTATTTTTGATACGTGTGTCGCATTCAATTAAGAACGGGCCATGAGTGCGACCATACGTTGTCTCAAAGACCTATACAAATTATCAAGGAGACGGAGACATAAATCCTGGAAACGGCAGTCTGGCTACGGTGTCGATATTGCCTGATATCTGTTCCGTGTAGACTTTTCATGTTCGTCCAGATTTAGTGACAATGTCTTCTTCTTAAGAGAGATCATCCACCTTAAGATCATGGCGATTTCAAACTGTATATGTGCACGCTAGGCGCCAGCTATATAAGATGAGTTAATGATGTAGTTATTAATAAGCATCGTAGTTCTCCCTTTTTACAAATGTTCCGAAGACTACAAAGGAGTCCAACGCTGTCGAAAGGGGAGAAAACATGTAAATATAAAATTTGTGTTTGTCCTTGCTTCAAAGCCAAATTTAAGTTGAAGCGTTTCACATGAGGGATCGAACTTATTCCAGATTAGAGCAAATACAAGAGGAGCCCCAACGAACAAGGCGAAAGTTAAGTCGGGCACCATTACATTCAGTGCATTTCCGGTTTCGGTATGGGCGAGACGTACAATTTGGTAGGTCGTGGTAGCTGAGTCTAGATCTGGCGAGGCATCCGACGTTGTAGAGGTCTGCCCGTCAATAGTGTACGCGGTCTGCGGGTCGGCAGCGATTGTCTGCCCGTTCAATGACAGCAGTGGTGCATTCGTAGCTTGAGACTGAGGACTCAACAGAGTTGTAGTGGCACTATTGATCACAAGTGCCGTAGCAAAAGGTGTCAGTGACATCGTCAGATTCGCGACTATGATCTGACCATCAGGTATTAGATATTGACCCCTATCGCATAGCTCGTTCCAGATCCAGGTGTTGCTGTGAACTTGGCTCCGTCGATTGGAAGTACGGGTGCAGCTGTAGCATGCGCATATCTGGTGTAACATTTATGACGGACCCAGCAACAAGCCTTTGTCCTTGAATGATGATTGAGTTACCAGGTTGAAGCGGATACTTCGTGTCATCTACATTGAGCATAGGAACTGGTGTTGCGACTGTTGGGATGTATGACGATGACCCTCCAATGATAAGATAGTGAGCTCAAGCGTCAAGACCGATAATTGTAGCATCGACCATAATAGTCTCACCAGATATTAAGACTGCTCCCGGCCTAAAGTAATATTGTGTTGCAGCGGTCCCGGTCACTGTATGACTGCCTAACGTAAGAATCGGTGGTGAGCAGAGTACCCCTTCTAGCTCTGGAGAGTCGACTATACCAGTTTGGCGTGGTGTCCCGTCGGTAGCATCGTTTCCAATGAGCTGTTGGCCACCTGTCAAGGTGTTAGGACTGTTGTTGAAATGTGTGGCGGTAATGCTTGGTGAAAGTGATGATTCTAATTTCTATCTTGATTTTCCACACTACACGGGTCATGTAAACAAGATTGACGTTCGTTTTGCTCGTGAATACTGCAAACGATGAATCGAGGGAAGCTGTAGACTTAATAGAATACACTGGAGTGACTGTGGCCAGGAATGAATCTACTGGTGATGCAGGATAGGCAAATAACGCTAAAGTGATTAAAGCGCGCTGAACGCTGCAAGAGTGGGATCGCTCCAATGGATCGGCTTGCTTTTTGTTTGATGGGCTGTTTGCTTGGGTCCAATTGGATCAGTCGAGAGAGATGATTCTAGCACAACGGGTGAGTATTATCAGAATGGACGGACGCTTAATTGAAGGACTCCTACGGCAGCCTCATTCGGGTTGATCGACGCATACACCAACTTGACAAGAACGAGAACAGTAACATCTCCATGCCATTCACCAGCTGTACACGTCCGTTCATGGATTTGATAGAGGAAGTCTTGAGGTATGATTCCTGTTCCATATGAAGCAGAGTCAAGACTGTGGCCAACGTAATTGAATACGTAAGTGCTCTCGAGGGTCATGGTAGTGGAGATGTATGTGGCAGTGCTACTGATATTTATGTTTTGCATTCGCTCTACCTCGTATGTGGTAAGAGCTACGAAAGAAGTCGTTGAAATTCTTTCCAATCAGCATTCCGTTCAAAATCTCCTGAAGAACGATCGCTACGAACACATGAGGCCAAAGAAGACATAGTTTATAGGAAGAATCGTGGCTTGTGATTATCTTGGGTATGACCAAATGTGAGACTTGATTAAGGTGCGAGTTGCGGTCTAGATTTGGAGCTAGAGAAATATGGTATACGATGAATATTTCATATAAAGTAGATTCGGGTCACTTACATGAAGGCGATTGTCCCTCATTAAGCCGTGATAGTCACGCTAACGGGTGGCTGGTTGTGTATGGATAACGTGGGACCAAGGATCCTTACGACTGATTGTGGTCTGCCTTTGGGCTAACGCAATGTACGCTGTTTTAAAGACTGCTGGGGTGGACGCTGCGGACGGTCTGTTCAAGTACGGTGCGGTACATCAAAGATGATCGTCACACAAGTGTCGGAATCATAGCGGCTGCTCAGTCTGTATGCGGGGGTGCCCTGTATGACGGATGTAATGTCTAGGTCTCTGTTCGCCGGCTGAGGTGTGTAGATGTCGTAGTTTCCGTTCAGTAGAGCGAAAGTAAATACAGCAATGAGCATAGGTGTATGCCGGTGGAAATCAGTAATCAATAGAGGCATCTCGAGCACCCAAGATACATGGTCCACAGTGATTGTTGTTGTCCTCTGCCGAGCCAAGACTGGCAGCAGTTGGCACAGTCGGAAAACTTGGTAGGACGATCGATGTATAACAGGTGCTGTTTAGAGATTACAAACCGATATTGCCGTACTGAGGCTTAGCTGGAAGGATTTTGTGCCATTCACAGCAAATAAAAACTGGGATGAAATCGACGGACAGTGAGCCTCAGCTTAAATAAAAACATGACTATGGCTGATTGATGGTAGATGGTCAACTTTTACGATTCGTGTTGGAACGCCAGCAAATCTATTTCTAAGGACGTCAACTTCCCTTTTGCTCCTGACAACTCCCGTGACCTAGTGGTGGGTATCCAAAATGTCGTCATGGACAGCTTACAGAAGTAAGAATCGATGGAACTCTTGAGGGCCCTTGCTACGCATTCATAGACTTTACCATCACTAAGCTTTGGCTACCAGAACAAGTGTGCACCTTGTCAAACGAGCCTTTGGTTTGCTATATGACGATACTTTGCATAAGCCGCTGCAGGACATCAACGCCAATGTGAAATTTACGCTAGGTGTCAGTCTGGTTCGATGGCCTGCAGTTGATATTATCCTCTCCTATAGCGCTTTTAACCTTATAGCAACACCTCCCTATCGGAGTCTAGACAATAACACCATGTACTCCCCGCTACGACACACGCAAGATAGTGGGCCATATGCACAGGGTCGCATGTTCTTGCAAGAAGCATATGTCATTGTCGACTTCAAGCGGTACAACTTCTCGGTGTGTCAACACGATTGGGAGCTTGGAGTCCAGCCGCATATTGTAACGATCAATCCTCCCTTAAGGAACGAAAATCTTTGTTCCGCAAACTCCACTACTGCGACCGGTTCGCGTAAGTATTAAGATATACGATCGAACGACTTGAGTCTTAAGCTTGACTGGCCTTGGAGTAGGTGGTACTGTACTAAGTTTGTTAGGTTTGCTTCTAGGGTGGCGGAAGCGAGTGTTTATGCAGAAGTTCATCGCAGAGGCTACTGCGCTGGCTGGCAAGGGATCACCTCCGAACAGAGCTCCGATAGCGGAGATGCCGAACTGGAGAGTAACAAAGTCATCCCGAAAGCCGAACTACCTGGCCAGGGTTCAACGTCAGGTTCAACCATGATGGTTGTACCGGATAATGCTATCGATTACCTCAGACACCTGCTTCGCCTGTCGACACGGAAGGCTTGAAAAACCAAATATACGAGATGGTTGGGTCCACTCAAGAGCGCAACGAAGCCGATGGACGTCAGTCCACGGAGAAACAAGCCGTTGTTCACCGTGAGCGCATGTGTGATGGAAGTGATCAGATGAACCCCAACACTCCCTTGACCCCAGCTTTTCAAGACCGTCACCTTTTCGGGTGATCGATGTTGCGCATATTGTTGGCACCGCATGTTCTTTAACAATATCGTCAGGTCCTTTGACAATAGTCAGTCCAGTATTCTTTGAAATGCTGAGACCGAACAGTGCGAGCATTATGCCCCGACGGCGCCGACTTTCGTATGAACAACCAACCGACGATGAGAAGACTCATTGATATCATTTGTATATGTGCATTATTATAAGATTAGGTGTTATTGGCTTTGGGGTGATTTATATACCACGGAAGTGCTCCGCTATCACATTTCCCCCCGTTGTTCGATATCCTGGGTTTGTGTTCAAAAGTATAAGGGAGAAAGTATTCATGAAATTTGGCATACTATCTAAATGTATAAAGGTAGGTTCCCTTATATATATAGATAGTAGTATAGTTAAATACTATACGTCACTATATATATATTTATTTATTACTTTCTTCTATATAGTTAATTATCTATAAGAGCCGCTTGTGCTAAACAACAGTTTGACGAATCAGCTGCAAAACGACGGCTCAAGTAAATAGATAAGAGTGACACGGACCTATCTAAGATCAAACATATAAAGATCTCGTTATTCTTCGCTGCTGCTGACATAGAACCAACGCAATCAATGCAATCAACGCACTACTGAAGAAGTTGAGCGTTTTACGTGTATATAATCTGTAATGCTCGGGCATAACTTGAAATCCCTTGCTTGGGATGTTGGACATTAGGTAGTCAACAGAGTCTCTAGCGATCTGTTCTCAAGATATGTTATGTTTGAAAATTATGCATTCTTTAATGTGAAATGCAGTAATTCTCGACGCTTTCATTATGAGATGGGCAATATAGCTTTTTAGGTTATATTTTCAAGAAACTGAACGCTTGCTATAGTATATGAACGAACCATCGGACTATGCGTCCAACTTCAGTTTCTCAAGTAGGGACTCTATCTTTCCCAGCAAGATTTTATAATTAATCGCATCCTGTTCAAACTCATCGCCTGCAAGCTCTCCGTCTAAAGTCCGTACTTCCCCGACTCCAATCTCCGTGGCAACTTGGGCACCCGCCTGAGCGCCGCCCAATACCGACTTCCCATCGACGGTGATAAGAGGCCCTGATTCCCCGTTCGTCTCATCGAAGGTTGTGTCCTCGAACCGCAAACGGAAGCGCTCAGACAAATAGTATCGTATGTCGTCCACTAGCTCGACAGTATCTGTCTCCTGTCGCGCCTGCACTCTATTCGCGCTTTCTCTTACCAGGTCCGCGAAATCCTCTAAGTCTATATATTGCTCTAGCCGTTGCGCAATATATCGCGCGCCAAACTCTTCTAGCCTCTGCACACGTGTATCCCACCCTGCCCGCACGACATCGAATATGTCTATGACGTCTTCTATATCGGTTTCGCCTTGTGGGGTCTCGGAATTAACAATAGAGTCCATGCCGTTTCCGAGAGTACTGATGATTGTGGCCGCCTTCATTTTGAGTTTATCTATGAATAAGAGGTCTGCGGTGAAAAGCACGTCAATTGCGTCCTCCAGACCAAAGTCAGTCTTTCCAGTGTACAAAAAGGAGAGCACGATTTCGAGGACTCGAGGTGAGCATGAAATGGAGACTGTTTGGAGGTGAGGCGTGGTTTGTGCTTCACGGAAAGACGACGAGAACATTGTGGCGAAAAAGTCCGAGCGAAGGAGTATAGCACGGTGCGCAGGATAAATGGTAGACCGTCGAGGTTTGCGTGGCTTCGACGGCGAGCGCAAGACGGAAGTTGATCTGATGGCAATGCTGTTCGGCGAGAGATCGTTCGCACACAATCGGTCATTTGTCGTAATCGTTGTGTCTTCGTCTTCGTCTTCGTCTTCTTCAACATCCTCGTCTGCGCGGAGCAAGATGTCTGCAAACATTGCATTGTTGTGATCCCATACCACGTCGTCCACTTTACTCGAATCCAACTCCACCTTATATTTCAGCACGTTATTCTTGAACCATCGTTCAAATTGAGCAGCGCCACGCTCGAGCTCTTGTGTTCGTCGTTGTCGAGCGAGTCGTCGGTCACCGCCCTCTATCATGTCCTCAAACAGCCGCTCGATTTCAAGATGCTTCGAAATCTTCGCAATACCTTCCAAGATAGCCTGCTCTTCGCCTGACGCGCCCAGATCTATAGAAACTTCGGACAAGTACAAGTACCGCACTGCGACACTGAAACTCTGGCCGGGAACATCATTGGATATCTTCCAGTTCTGTATGCCTGGATCTTGCTCTAGCTTCTTTGCAAAGTAAGGGCTCCTTGCTGCGAGGACAAATTTGTGCAGCTCGAAAGGGGCGGAAGTGGCTGACGTCAAGGTTATATCGGTCGTTCTGGGGGTTTCAATTGAAAGGAGAGAGGTGATGTGTGCGGCGAAAGGTTGTAAGGGGTCCGTGAACTTGGAATAGTCATAAGACAACAACAGGTTACGAATACGATCATTCAAGGCATTGTAAAGACAGCGCTCGCCTTGGAATGTGTCGCGCTCACATAATGCGCCGGCTTCGAGGAGGAGCTGTGCGACTTCGTAATGGCCGCATAAACTGGCCTGATGAAGCGTCATGTAAGCGAGGCGGCTTTGTTAACGGATTAGCGCAGCAGTGCTCACCAGAATCAAGGGCGTATAATCAAACTTGTCTCTCGCATTGATATTCACCCCAAGCTGAATCATTTCCTGGCATGTCCTCAAGTCGCCTCGACGGCATGCCTCGCAAAAGATCCTGAAATTCTCGCTCAGGTCCAGAGGATTATCCTCCTTGAGGTTTCCCGCCGAGATTGCTTGATTCTCTGCATGCAAGGCCGCCTCTATCTGAAACTTGTGCGCAACGTTCGCCGCCATCTTGTTGCAAACAGAAGAGAGGCAATGCACGAAGACTCCATCTCAGTATGTGCAGAGTGGGAGTCGGCAGAGCATTTACCTGGTAGTAGTAGGTCATCTAGATGACTGATGACGAAATGTTCTGATAATCGTGGCGGAGAATGGTCGGGCATCCCCGGGTCGGGAGTGGACAGAGGCGCTTCGTTGCCGTGCCAACATGTCAACACGCCACCACGACTGCTATTGCATTGCAACCTGCTAGGGCTAACCTGACCTTCTCACTAGCAAGATGCAAGCTCCAGCAAACGACGTTACTACACAAATATGATTGATGTTTGCCGCAGATAATTTATTCACCGCCCTCGTTATTACAGCAGCAGCAGCGGTCATTCTTCGCTCTTCTTACCTCGCCCGATAACTCCTAGTCCAGCATAATGGCAGACGAAGACAACAAATATGATGTCCTGGAGAAGATAGGTAAGTTGTCCTTCTATCTAACCAAAAACGAAAACTAAAGTTTGCATAGGCCATGGCTCTTTTGGCGTCATCCGCAAAGTCCGGAGGAAGTGCGACAACCAGGTCTGGTGCTCGCCCTACTGTTGCGACATGACTGACCTTCGTAGATATTGTGTCGCAAAGAGATTAGCTACACACGCATGTCTCAGAAAGAAAGAGAACAGCTACAGGCAGAATTGTCTATCCTAAAAGAACTTCACCACCCAAACATAGTTCGGTATTATGAACGAGATCATCTCAAAGAGTCTCAGGACCTCCACCTGTATATGGAATACTGCGGCAATGGTGACCTTGGTCGACTGATTAAGAACTTGAAAATAAAGAATCAGTATGCAGAGGAAGAGTTCGTCTGGAGCGTATTCTCTCAGATGCTTTCTGCTCTATACCGATGTCACTATGGCGAGAATGCTCCCGACGTTGGTCACGATATCATGGGCCTGGGGAATAATGCAAAACCGCTGAAGAGCAAACAAAACATGTTCATGATACTGCACCGCGATTTGAAGCCAGAGAATGGTATGGTATCACCCTAGTCTAGTAGGAGACTTTACTGATATGCTTGTGTAGTCTTTCTTGGAGAAGACAACTCTGTCAAACTCGGAGACTTTGGGCTTTCAAAGATTTTGCAATCTCACGATTTCGCTTCCACATATGTTGGCACTCCATTCTATATGTCCCCTGAAATCTGCAGTGCCGAGCGTTATACTCTACATTCTGATATATGGTCCCTTGGCTGTATCATTCATGAACTTTGCGCAAAGGAGCCCCCATTCAATGCGAAGACTCACGTCGATCTTATAAATAAGATCAGAGCTGGGCGAGTGGAAAGGATACCAGCTTGCTATTCCGGAGAGCTACAAAAGGTTATTGACAGCTGCTTACAGACCAATCCGAGTCATCGACCAAGCACTGCACAGCTTCTCAATTTGCCAATCATAAAGCTCATGCGCAAGGAACAGGAGGTCGTGATTTTGGCCCAACAGATGAAACATGAAAAGGATCAGGCTACAAGGGCTCTCAAGGAGCTCAACAGTAAGATGACTCGCATCGAGCTTCAAAATACAAACATTCGTGTCGAGATCGACGCTGCGGTCCGGAGAGAATGGGAGGTCAAAGCTCGACTAGAGATCGATCGCCAAGTGCAGCTGGAGATGGAAAGGTTGGAACGAGTTTTCGAAGGAGAAGTTAGCAAACGTGTGGCACAAGAACTAGACCGTCGTTTGACTGAGAACTCCTCAAGCGATGGAGAATTTGTTCGCTCGTTGACACCAACCATGGAGGCGGATGAGGATAAAGTGGGAGACAGCAGCGATAACCATGGGAAGTCGCATAGCACTCTGGGCTCGAGATCAGATTTTCCAAGTCAGACGGATCTTTCTGACCTCTCACTCGAATCGCCCGACGCTTCGAGGCCGTCCTTCCGGCCCACCAAACGCCCGACGCGAACGCCCTTCACGCGGGCCAAAACCATGTTTCAACAGGGATCTAATATAGCATCACCTATGGATGTGCAGATGGCTGAGCCATCACCGATGGGTGTAGGAGCGCTGTCATTATCACCACGGCGGCTACCCATAAAGCGGAACTTGTTTCAAGCTCCGGAGCGTTGGGAGCCTAAGATCCCAGAGTCACCATCAGACCTTCCTTCTGACGATGATGATGTAGATGCAGATTTCTTGGGGGATGATGAACTTCCTACGCTTCCGTCTCCTACTCGACCAAGGAAAACGGCGATGGCGGATGATCCATTCAAGACATTCAATCCCATACAGAATAAACCAACCTTGAATCCCACTCACCGGCTTGGGTCAGCGCCCAATCTTCTTGCACCTACTGGAGCTGTAACTGCCACTACCGCTGCCAGCACTCGCCCTCGCCCTACGAGCACGGTGCCTGTTGTTGCTACTTCTCCCAACCGGCGGAAGAGCAAGATGCCCTTGCCAACCGAATGCGGAAGTCCCACACGTAAACTCGGGCCGAATGCACCCGCTGGGACATCTGTCAAGGATTTCTCGTCAGCGTTTGCTCCCACAGCAGCCTCAACACTAAAAAGCAAGAGAGGTAACGTTGACGAGATGCGTCAAATAGCTATGCGAAAGAATCTTCAAGGCCGAACGCTAGTCGAGCTCTCACAAGGAAGAGCACCATTGAGCGACGGTAGCTATGGCAGCGATTCTGGCGATGATGGAAAACGTAGGACGGGGACAAGATTCGCTGCAGAATGGGACCCAGAAAGAGACGAGATGCCTAGTCCGTTCCTAGCACGAGGGGCGTCGAGAGGTAGAGGCATACTACCTCACCGGTAATGGAACGTGGCATATTTGGAGGAGAAGGAAACACTGATTTAGCCATGCCTGTATGTTGCGATGAGTGAAGAGTGATTGGGGACGAAAGTACGACCGAGCTGGCTGCGTATGTTGGTTTCCCTTTGTTTGAGTTATTTGCATTGAACGGCGTTTGGTTTCTCTTGGGTACTCTACTCTGTTGTCTGGCGGCCGCGTTATAGTTTTCTTAAATGCACACATCGAAGTCAACTCGATGTGTTACCAATGCGTTGTTCACGAGAATGGAAATTCCGTTAGCTACTCATGAGTAGCTTCTTGAGTGGAATACACTACAATACCTACGGTCTGATGCAATCAACAGCTATGTATTTGGCCAGACGTGAAATCAACCTGATGCTATCGATCACTGCAAACCCTTTCCAGGCGGGCTGGCAGCCTGTAGATTGTTTGTTGACGAGTAATACATCTACTCATTACTGTTCTATTAGCACTGAGAGCATCTCCAAAAGTTAATAAACAGTCTACCCAACTTCGCAAAGTCAACCCGCTACCATGTTCTCCTAGTCGCTGCACGCGTCTATAAACAGTCCCTACTTCGGGCGGATTACTAGAAACAAAAATAACACCCTGACAGCGTGGTGGCGACTCTCCAGGTTCTCCGCACTTCGCCCAGCAGCTGTTATACAAGAATCAGTCAGAACACTCATAAATATTTAGCTATCCTTGTGTAATCTATGGCCTGAGAGGCTCTATAAACTATCTACCAAATATACTCCTTGCTGAGAATACAACCAACCTTCATAGAGAACAATGTTTCAAGACTAAGAGTTGAGTCTATTACCCTTTTTAAGACATTTCATGGTACTGTAAAAAAGTGGACGAGATTCAACACTAATGATTGTTTGTAGTGTGCAACTCAATATAAGGATTTTGATATAATGTATCAGTACTTGCTCTCAAGCAATCGTTTTCTTTTCTCTGTTAAAATATACTATCTATATCTTCCATGAACTGTGTTAGGGTATAAAAGCTTAATTTACTATCACAGTAGAGCTATAGGAGGATAGAGTAGGTATATTGTAGGTGACTTGATGTTACTACGTAGCGTAACTGTTTCATAAAAGGATTTGGATGATAAGAGCTGGGATTCCCCTTGTACCTAACTTACTGTAGTTATCGGGCTGTTGCTTTGTTGCGCTTCGTGCAGGCCCAAGTGCAGTGGCGTGAGCGGCATTTTACACTTGCACTGTGGAAGAATCCTAGAGTGTCTCGGTGCGCATTAGTTTCATTTACTTTCTACAGTGACGAAGAGCTAGGATCTGGGGGGAAGCTAATCAGCAAAGCGGACTTGGTGCTTCTTTGGGCAACACTATCATGGGTTCATGGGCAAGTTGGTGCGTCGCAAGCTGGTGCTTGCACATCTAGAAGATGAGTGAGGCATTTCAGGGATATCGTATGTACATATATGACTGAAGGATCCACGGTATATCAAATCCTACTGTCACATACATCGCATCCTACTACTGTCATACGATGCCCTGATGTTGGCTGCGAATGCTGGCAAACAGGAGGAGCTCGAAACACACTTGAGTGGAACATCCATTCGCCTGTTGTCGCTCTTATATTGAGCGTCGTCCAGCTCATCACTGCCTTTTTCATCCACATTATCATTATGGCCATACCAAATAGCTCCAGTTCGGACCATGAGTCGGCTACCGCGATGGAAAAGCCTACCGCCCAATATGCTCAGCATGTGAAGTCTCCCGATAGCGGATTCGCAGGTGAGTAGCTGATGGAAACTATATGTACAGTCAAGCTAATTCGAGCCCTTCAGACCCCGAGAATCATCAAGGTGGTCCAGTGTCTACAAAGCGTCTCATGTCTCTTGTAGCCATGGCTATCATATGGACAGGTTCGCAGATCCCAGTGTATCTGTTTGGTGGTGTTACCCCATACATCTATGGTGATATTGGAGGTACTGATAGATGGATTTGGTTTGTGTTGGCTAACCTGCTATCACTTGCTGCCGTTTGTCCGTTTGTTGGAAGTTTGAGCGACTTGCTTGGTCGAAGGTTTGTCGTATAGGCAGAATGCTCATTTGTCCATTGATTGACAAGCTTAGATACGTTGCAATCCTTGGAACCTGCTTCATACTCCTCGGGATGGTAGTCTCTTCCACTGCTCATACGATGAATTGGTTTATTTGCGGCATGACCTTTGCCGGCATCGGTGCTGGCATCACTGAGCTTACTGCTCTGGCTGCGACGTCAGAGCTCGCACCAGTCAGGAAACGTGGCACATACGTAGCTTTGCTTGTACTCAGCATCGTTCCATTCTGTCCCTCCGTCCTCTGGGCTCAACTGATTGCGTACCACAGCACCTGGAGGTATATTGGTGTTGTATGCAGCGTGTGGAACTTCATCGGCCTCGCACTGCTAGTTGTCTTCTACTTCCCACCGCCTCGAATCAATTTGCAAGACATGACCAGGAGGCAAGTCCTTGCCAAGATTGACTACATTGGTGGCTTCCTCAGCATTGCAGGCTTGATATTGTTCTTGGCCGGCATGCAATGGGGAGGGTATCAATACAAATGGACCTCAGTACATGTTCTGGTGCCGCTACTGATTGGTGCTGGACTGCTTGCCGCGTTCGTCGTATGGGAGGGCTGGTTTGCTTCCTACCCAATCTATTCTAAGCGTCTTCACCGGGAGCCGCGTATTCTGCTCCTTACGCTTGTGATCACCTTCATATCTGGTGCCAATTTCTTCTCGCTCGTTATGTTCTGGCCAGCACAAGCCTTCAACGTATATGGCCACGATCCTGTGGGTGTTGGAATACGAGGTCTTCCCGTCGCTTTCGGTATTCTTACTGGTGCGCTTATCGTTCTGTTGTTGCTGTCCAGGTTCAGGGGTCGAAACCGCGAATTACTCATCGTGTCCTCAATTCTAATGACTGCGGGTTGCGGTGGCCTGGCTGCAGCCGAAAGAGACAATCTGAACATCATTTGGATAGTTCTAGTGATCGGAAGTCTGGGGATTGGCGGGATTGTCGTTCCGACATCAATCATTACGACCATCGTTTGTCCTGACGACCTGATTGCGACCGTAACTGCACTGACACTTGCAATCCGTGTTATTGGCGGTTCGATTGGATATTGCATCTACTTCAATGTCTTCGCGCAGAAGTTCGTCCCGTACGCAATGGAGAACATTGGCAGAACACTTGCTATGCACAACATCACCTCGCCGGCCATCATTGGAGAAGTCGTAGAGCTGACTGGTGCATCATTGTTGCATGTCGTTGCCGAAATCCCTGGAATTAAGGGCAATGAGACGATCTATAATGCAGTTGTTCTCGCCGGACAGTTGGCGTACGCAGCGGCATACAAGCATGTATACTACGTCAGCACTGCCTTTGGAGGCATCAGTGTTATTGCGGCATGTTTTCTGGGCGATATCAACAAGTTTATGACGGATGATGTGGCTGTGACGATGTAGGCTTTTAGTATGGCAGTTTGCAAGCCTGAAAACGCGATGTTTGCATAGAATATGGCAGTCTTGAACACATTGCATAGCATGTATACGCATGCCAATTCTAGAAAAATTTCTCTGAACTGTTTCACGGTCAGTGACAACCATAAAGACCTGTTGTAGCCTGGCATGGGATATCGAGTTGACCTGACCGAACACTAGAGCATGCTCGAAGTTGTAGCATTACCATTTGGACTATCGCGCTCACTGCTAAGACTGACCACAACCTTCGTGCACAAGAAGAATGTCGTCGTCGTTGCTCATACCACCAGCTTGAGACGCGCCACTGGAAGCATAAGATCTCAATCCCAGGTGGATGTCGAAAAATCACCTTTGCAGAAGGATCGTCCATCTGGATACTGCTTGTTGTACCTCGAGTAGAGAAGGTAGAACGGACCTCAAGATCGACTGCGTGGTATCTCGTCTCCATATGGCATAGAGAGCAGCATTGTAATAGCAGATAAGATTCTACCCTTTATGAGCGACGCTCGCGTGATACTAGGTGCCGCCTAGCTCCAATGATCGAATCTTCTTGGTTTGGTGCCGTGAATGGTGCCGTGGTCCTGTGATGTCTATCTTGTGATGGTATATAAGCCTCGAACAGGTAATTGGTTTAATTACCATTGTCAGATCGCTCTTAAGCCGGGCTAAAGGTTTGAGACAGCTTTGCCGACATCACATGTGCTTGGTGTGTCTACTAAAGATGAGCAGACGGGACCGCCTTGTAAACTGTGTCCAAAAGGTTAGCAAGGAGGGTATACGGCCGAGGCCAAGGAACAAGTCGACAGGTAGAGACGTTCATGCGAGAAGTAAGACGACCGAATGAGCCGTCCCTTTTCCCGAAAGCCTAGGTATTTAGCCAGAGAATGCGCCCACCTTCTTGGAATGTCGCGATGACCGTTTGAGAGGGTGTGCTGCTGCTGATTGTGTGTGGAGGAACGAATAAAGGAAACAGGCAGGGGTCTGCTTCGCCGCCAGCCACTTCCGTGGACTAGTGGACAGAATGATGCAGCGAAGCCTTGATGATACAATAAGGGCGCGTAATTTATGCACATGTCAATTAACTAGATTATTCGGTCTCAATCAAAGTGTGTTTTCAGAGTGAATCACAGATATAATTGACATGAACAGTCGCTGGAGGCGGCAAGGCAAGGTCACAACACGTTTGAGGGCTTTAGATTCGCGGCGCTGGTGAGCGAAACAACAAAGAGTCTCGACGCCGGGGGGAATGGATTAGCTGCAAGCGTTCAAATGAAGTTGCTGCCTGATTAACGTCAATGTCGAACAGGGGAGTTTTCGAAAGCTAAGGATGTCAGTGACATGGCTGCGGATAGGGCTGCAGGACGATTGGGAGTGCTCAGCCTACTTCGTGCATACAGAAGAAACGCACGCAAATCGAATTATCATGGGGTTGCATACAGTAGATGCTATGGTTGGTATAGGTATATGCAGATGGATGTGGTCATCAGTCAAGCAGGTACTACTGTTAAGTGAAGTGGAGAACCGTTCGACATTTCGAAGCTCCCCCGGACAAAGCATCCATCCATGGATGAGTTCATCATTGGATCCATCCCAATCTCATCCTCGTCTAACTATATCATCCAAAAATAAGACTGCCTCCAGGCTGTTGTGCCTTTGACTGTGACCACCATACCCTCGCCGCCGCTTCGTCTCATTTCCCTTAGCCCCTCCGGGTTCGTGTAACAGAGCGCTATCTCATCTTAATTCTTCTCCCACCCGCATCACACCTTCTTCCGCTCTTCCGCTTCTCCAACACCGAGCCTAATTACCCATTCGCGGATGCGACCTTCCACTGCGTGCGGTCATGCCAGTCGTTGGCGTTCCTCGACCATGACCATGAGAGGCCTACAAACAGCTGAAACACCATGACCTCTCCCGCCAATTCGATACCAGATTCTCAATTGGGTCTCACAGGCGCAGAGATCCAAACGCTGCGCCAACAGCAAGCCATCGCACTATCTCAAGCCGGTGCTTCTTCCTCACGCGCTGCTAGCAATGCATCAAGTCAAGGACGACTGCTTCTGGATCCATCCAGCTTGGCTCAACTCTCTGCGCACTTCGATCGTTTACTGCACGCCATAACGTCGCGATGGCACTATGTGAGCTCGGCTCGGGGATGATCTGTTATCATGCTAATGCCTGACACATAGCTCAACGCCCAAGCCGCACAGTTCACCAACATGCAGCATGACCGCGCAGGCACGTTGATTGGCAATGCCGATGCAGAAATTGCCCGTTTCCACGAGATCATCCGGCAGACCAACGAGCTCCAGGTTGAATTTGACAAGATTCGCCGTATTGGAGAGATTGTGAAAGGCTTCCGTGCACGCGTGGAAGCACTTGATCGAAGGATATGAATACACCAATCATTCACGTCTACACCTCACGAAGTCACGAAAACGCACATACTGTTCGCGAGGACGCAACTGTAAAGATCACAGACCTCACGGTCGAGAAAATAAATTAAGGGCAAGATAAGCAGATACGTCATAGTATTCGGATTTATATAGACTGATCAATTTTCTGCGCCCCATGTATCCGAACTACGCGGCACATCCAACACGAACCGTATATTTTGTCCTCTTCTCTGAAGTGTAAAATGGATATCATGTCTAATTATTGTCTAGATAACTGGTGGTACTCCTGCTAGACATTGTTACCTCTGAACTCTTCAGGATATGTCCCGAGGTCACCTCCAGATGTTGTTAGTTCACCTCACCGCCCTAATATATCTCAGGCTTCCATTACCTATGATACATAGCCATCTTTTCCTCGCGCATAACCGCCCCTTGTCATTGGAGATGACTTCGAATTGGGAACAATGCATTACATACGTTTTGTCGATTAGATAAGAGTATGGTTCCCCAAGTGCGGGCAAACTTCCAGACTTCTATAAACACGTTCGCTAATATGATTCGCAGGAAATTGATCAACTCAGACAACCATGCCATTTCTCATTTCCTCAGACAGTGATCCTCAGCTGGCATTTCAAAGGCTTGTGAGGTATCCAATTCCGCCGGCCTCTTTACGAAGTTCTCGTGCCTCTTCCCTATTGGCATTTCGTAATATGGAGTAGAGCTGACAAGAGCTTCCTGATGCGGGCTAACAGCCTCATTCACTTGCAGTTCAGGCACAGGCTTCTGGTCTCCATGCAAGGAGGGGTCCCGGGTATGAGCACCGGAAGTCAATCGCTCCGAGCTCCGAGCTTTCCGCATCCGCCATACGAAGAACATTCCAAGTCCTGCCAGGCAAACTCCACCAACGGCACCGACTACAGCGCCGGCGATTACTCCGCCTGATATCCCGCCATCACTCATTGCCTCTGAGTTGGTGGCTGTGTCGGTGATTATTGCCGTCGAAGAGCTCAGGTCGACACTGCTGCTATGAGATGCGCTTGGAAAACATGTTCCGAATTCGCTCTGTGCACACGTTAAAACAGATACAAGATGTCACAAACGGAGACATACTTGACACCCCGAGGAACAATAAGAGACATTCGCACCACAACTGACGATGTAGGATTAGCGGCGAGTTCAGCTGTCAAGTCTTGAAGTGTACTGACTAGCCTCTCTGACTACAGCAATTTCCGTAGTCACTGCCCTGACAGCTGATTTTGTCTGGTCCACCGCATGTACCATCTGAACTGATAGACATGATGTTTCCCACACCACAGGATCCAAAGTCTGACTGGCATCCGCTCCCACAGTAGCTCGAGCCACTGCCGCAACTGAGTAATTGGTCAGCGACGACATAGGAACCTTCCTGGTGTGGAATCATACTATCCGCGGGCTGAACAGCAGTTTCCAAATTCGCTGCCTACGCATGTGATGCTGGTGGGACCGCCGCAGGACCCATCCGAACTAGTGTCTGAGGTTGGACATTGGCCAAAATCACCTTGGCATCCCGTCGTACAATAGCTTTCGTTCTTCCCGCAAAATCCTTTAGATGAGCAACAATCACCGAATGTGCTGCCCTCACACGTTTGTCCTGACGAGCCGCCGCATGACCCATCTCCACTGACAGTCAAGTTGGAATCTTGCCGTATTGTTAGAGTCGGGATTCTCGTAGATGGTGCCCTATTGGGATAAATGAATCAGCAAACATACTTCATTCACTAGAGGTCAACGGTCATCTTGTAACGTTCAGTTTCATGTACTCTACAGCCGCCAGAGGTCGACCTAGCCAAGAGCAATGATGGCAAATCTTGCATGCCCAGGCCAAGCAGTTTTGCCATACCGTCACTCATGAGAAATTCCACTTACGCAAAAGTTGTGCTGAGATACAACACGAACAGTACAAACAGCAAGAAGCTGCCGAATTTGTCGTGCGTGTACATCGTAGAATTTGGGATGCGTTAAGCAACACGAGTGAATGAGAAGAGTGCACCACAGTCGCAATGGGACTCGAAGTTAAGAGAAACAGAACCAGACCAGGATGGAGGAATGGAGTCTAACAAGAGTCGAAATCAGGGACGCGGAGAGGTGTGCTCATGGTCAGTATGAGGGTTCCCACTATGTATCGCTTGTAACTTGCCGTACGACATGGTAATTCGTCCCTCGTAAATCGGACCCCATTCGCTCAGCTTATTGCATGCTCGAATCATGAATCATGAATGCATGGCGCTGTAGTAGCAGAACATGACATCTCCATCAATCTCTTCACGATGGGGGCTATTAGTGCCGGAGGCTCAGCGCCAAAAGAATCGCCACCCTGTAAGAGAATGTTTCAGGACTGCATTGGGCTTGGCATGCGTTCAGCTGATGCCCCCGTTACAACCTATCTGAAACGGACAAGTGGTATAAACAGCATAGAACCCCCTTCGGACCAACCGACAACTACCATAACATCACCTTTGAAATGCACTCGACGATGCCTACAGCGAGTCTGTCGCCCTGACAAGCCAAAAGTAGTGCAATAATACGACTGTGAACGCTAAGGTACGTTGTGGAAACAGTCTAATCGGACCGACACATTGCTATTACGGTCTGTTCATAAACAGAACCCTATTTCGTACAAGACATCGGGAAAATATCAGTCCTACGTCATTCCAAAGCACGTCCAAAAATCCGGTGCTCTTACTGCCGATGCACCAGTCTCTGCCTTGTCTACAGTGAAACGTGGAGACTCTGCTCTGCCTAGTTTGACATGAGCTAGTGGGTATTTCAAAGGCATCAACGCAGCAGCATCCGGATATCTATACTCCATAACCGGGACATACGGACTAAGTCTAAGAAGTCTATCAGTCATCCATGTCCAGACACTTACGCCCGCGCATGCGCCACGTCTTAATACTAGAGTAACTATAAAGTCTAATTATTTTCGATAGTCATTAGCTACCCTCCACTAAACCAGAGCGTGTATATGTGGTATACCTCTCTTAGATCATAACGTATAGTAGCAGTCTATATAGTGATGGATTTGTCTTAAAGGGAGCGGCTGTCCACTAATTTTGCACATCCTTGCTATGGTTCTCACAATTGGCATATTCGGATTTCGCTGTCGGCCATCTACGTCTACAACCTTTCATGATGTGCAGTGACAGGTCATTTATCTGTGCACACTCTCGATGAGTCCTCGGTAGAATGATAGATGTGCACAGAACAAGACCTAGCCCTGAAGGTGTACAACGATGTCTTTGGGCAAGATCTGCAAATCCATTATTTTGTAGCACACAACAGCGGCGGCGTACATCCAAAAGATACTTTGCCAGTGGCAAGGACTACCCACTTGATGCAATGCTTTTAACCACTTCCTATACAGAGATGCATTGCTTCGAGAGTGCTCGAAGACTCTGCTGACCTTATTGAAATGAAACCCTCAAGTTATCTCTCATCTAGCTGTATCTCGATAAGCCATAGTTTCAGCCTACACTAATTATGTAGTGTGTAGTCCTACTCATTCTCACCACCCGGGAATCACCCTTCCAAATAGTAATTGTACTTTTCAAGTAATTAAGCCGCGTAGTGTTCGCCTACTAGTCATATACCAGCCTCAGCTGAAAAGCCTCTGACTTGGACCAGGGTTATACCGTCCAATCACCTTTCCGGACGAGAGGCTAAAGCTGGCTTGTTACGATATTGCATAGGTGGCTGTGGCTGCTGCGAACTGAACGGGGGCTAAATGCAATATCATGGCGCTGCCAATGTCCAGCTCCGCTATGCATGTCCAATTAACAGGCAACATACTCATCCCAAAAGAATTCTCTATTCAAGCCGCTTGGACATTTGAAACCCTCCACATCGACTTTGATTTCACAAGTTCATAGGCATTGTAGGGCTCGATCAGCGTTTCGTAGCAGATCATAGGTGTATACGTAATTACCAATGCCACAGCATTATTGAGCCACTGAGTCGTTCTTTCGATTGGCTGTCTGAACTGAGTACCATCGTAGGGTGATGAACTAGGAGGTTATAACAGCATATGAATTCAGGCGAACTTGGAAGGCCCCAATCGAGTCTAAAGCATTTCTATATCCAATGTTAAACCGACGCCTGATGCTATTCTGGGGGCTTTGGGCTAATGAAATCTGATCTAGGCAGGTTGAACTTGCATGCCCATTCCTTCGGGCCTTTAGTGAACCTGATACGCGGAATAATCGTTCTATACGCACAGTTCCTGATCCCGGGGTTTTATATTCTGCAGTATATATGCTCTTTGTTTTGACTGAACACGCTCAGTACTCATACCCTAGGCTCAACAACCTTCGCCCGTCATGGTAAACAAGGCTCTTACTCTGCTGGCATTTGTGGCCTCCACACTTGCTTTGTCTACGAAGCGCGTCCCTGGTGTCACCAAGAACGGGAACAACTACGAGGTCGGTGATGCAGGAATATTCACACACAGCGCAACATACACGTTCACCGGCTCGTCGCTTCCAGAGGGCCTTTATGCCAGCGAATACACTGTTGAAGACGCTTCTGCTCCGTTCAGTCACCGCTTCCTGGCGAGTAACGCCGTCGTCCGCGCTGGCTATTTGGACCTAATAATCCCCGGTGGTCAGTCCCAAAGTCCACTTACAGGTGCCGAGCTCGGGACCGTGGAATCAAACATTCTTTATGGCAGCGTGCGCACGACGGCAATCTATGGCGATGTACCGGGTGCTTGTAATGGTATATTTCCCCCGTTCCATACATCTCATCCCTGACCAAGCGCTCTGCCTAACTCATATAGGCTTCTTCTTTTACAAATCTGATAGGGCCGAAATCGATATCGAATGGATCTCAGACCCTAAATCACTCTCTAACCCCGGTGACGGGTCCCGGCCCCTGTTCTACACCAACCAGGACCTCAACGGTGTATTTGCAGATCGTACCTGGAGCAGCGCACCAAGTCCGTCTGATATCAGCTCGGCGGAGCATGAGTATCGGATTGATTGGCTCCCGGGTGTGAGCAGGTTCTACTTGGATGGTGCGCTTCAGAAGGAATACACAACCGACGTCCCAGGTGTTTCTGGGAGCTGGCTGTGGAATAATTGGGCGAATGGAGATCCGGGCTGGACCGCAGATCCGCCCGCTGAGGATAATCTGTTCCGGATTAAGGAAATTGAGATGTACTATAATGTTAGCTCCAAGGCGTAGACACGATAGTGCGTATGTGTTACTGATGGTAAGGGAGCATGTAATAACACAGCAATCTGATATCATGCCACACCTATTGTGATCTTGTTCAATTAAGGTTTGTCACAGGATACAATACTTGCATCAGAAGCTGGAAATGCGAACTATTCATGAGACTTCCATACTTCGAGGTGTATCAGAGAGCCGACCCACGCAGTAAAGCTTTGTGGAATGGGCAGTATTGAGCTGGGCCGCTGTTGAGTTCAAGCTAATGTAGACGAACTGGAGTCGAATGTCCCATTCCATATACTTGACGGAAGCCGGGAATGCTTACGGTCACATGTTGATATACATCCATCGATCTAACCAGTTCAGAGTATATCGATAACAGTGTCACATGCATAAATTCGATATTGAAGTTATAGAGTCTATTGTGACAGTCGAGTTAGGGGGCTATGCACATGCAGACAGATAATGTATCTGCAGAAGGTATCGAAGATGGTTTCACAAGACAGAGAGGTCGCCAAATTTCTCCTGCAGGTGTATCAGTTGATGGCCAATTGAGTTCACATCATGCAAGGGGTCAGGGATTACCTTGTAGCCAGGCACTGTCCATTTGCCTTTGGAGACGAGCTGTTCGGTGCGTTCGTCGATATCGGAACGCGCAGCAGCAACCTCATCCTGAGACTCAATTTAGTACTCCAATCTTTGAGACATAGAGGCGTAAACACAAGCAAACATACCACAGTGAGGTCTTCGAAAGGTCGAGCATCCTCAATGTTCTTTAGAGTCTTCTCAAGGTCCTTCAACTCCTTGTCGACCAGACCCTTTGTTTCCTCTGCACTTCTAACAGCTTGTGCCTCAAAGGACTCAATAGCCTTGATTTGTCTGTTAACATCATAGGATGCAGGCTTGAAGCCATTGAATTGCTTCTCGATTTCGTCAATAATGGTTTGGTTCTTCAGTACGGAGCGATAGTAGGCGAAATCGACATTCTGGGGCTGCTCGCTGAGCACCTGCACCTTGCGTCTGGCATCGTCATTGCGCTTCTTGAAGGCGGAGAGGGACGACGCGGTTGCGCCCTTGAGGCCGAGCTGTGTACCGATTTTGGTCCAGTCGATCTTGAGAGCTGCGCTGCGCTATTTGGCATTAGAACGAATTACGTCTCAATGGTATCGAAATTGATGTAAGCAAGAGGAGTCTACTTACTCCTACCGCCATTTTGATGACTGGCACGTTGTGTGGAATGGGGGAGGTCTATGTCGTGATGATGTCCGTCGCTCTGGAGCTGCAAGAGATTTGGGTTCGCGATTGAGTATTAGTGATCACGTGATAAATCTAGCCGCATACGCAACTTCGCCCTCAACCGAAGCACGTGTCGCGAATTGTGTGTGGCCCTAAGGACGTGATGTCGCCCCTATGGTTCCTACGAAGTGATCCTACAAAGAAGTATTCTCGAAGGACACAATCTCCCGTTTAGTGATTGAAGGTACACGGTAGTCATTTGATTGTAAAATGGCTCACAGTATTATAAGCAAATACATCCGTCCGGTCTCACTACTTAATACTTTTAATTGTAGGTCCTAGCCTTTTGAAAGTTGTAAATGTCATTTGCGCTTTGGCTATCATACATAGTATGCGCTTGTTTTCGAGACAGAGGCCATGGATCGTGTAGTCCTCATATACTCAGTGCCATGATGGAATTGACAATGTCATTGTCGTTCTCTTTCAGTGCCTTCACAGCCTTCTTCCTCGAGACGCTGGCTTGCTGCATGACCAATTCAATGTCCTTTGCCTCGAGTCCGGAGTCATCAACCTCCTCACCATCATCTTCTTCCTCCTCCTCTTTCTTCTCCTCGCCACCAAGGTCGATGCTCTTGCCCTTGTCGCCGTGATCGTGTCCAGCGTGATCTCCACCGGCACCTTCGGAAGCAGCAAGTTGCTGCGCAGCATTGGCCTGGGCTTGCGAGTTTAAGTCCTCAATCTTAGCTTCTCCGAAGATACTGGCTCGTAAGTCAGAATGATGGTTCGTAGTTTGGGAAAACCGGATGTTGCTTACATCCAAGTGTTGCTTGAAGGGGACTTATAGACATCAGGTTGATTGATAACAAAAAGGATCTGATCGCCGCATTAGGTTGACCATTGTTATGAATTCTTGAAGCTACGATGTTGCAGAGTAACCGCTGTCATCACTTACATTCTTTGGGCGTCTCAGAGTCACTCTGGTAATCCCTTCGATGTGCTTGAGCCCAAGTTTGGCAATCGCCTTTCTAGCCTTCTTCTCATTGCGGGAGTGTACAGCGACTGAGGCACCAGCCGGGATGCCAACTTCGCCGTCACCGGCGCCGGACGCCTCAACCTCGGAGTCAGAGCTGTCCTCGGCATCCTCGACCTCAGCAATCTTCTTGTCGGGTTCGTCTGTCAATTCCTCAATACGTGGGTTCGACATGTTGTTATGTTGTTGAAGATCTCGAAGCTGTGATGGTGGAGTGCAATGCAATGTACTGGAGCTGTGAGCACGGGCCTTTTCGGTTGTGTGGGCAATCTTAGCTCCTTAGCGAGCGTGAATACGTATTATGCAAATCGTACATGATTTGGAGCAACAAAGCTGCCAAACTGGGTGACTTCAATGAACAATTCGAGTTTATCACTAAATCTGGTTCGCGCATTATAGCCCCGCAATCATTGGTATTTCTACAAGCTGATAGGGACATTGTACTGGCCGTCCTTACTATGTAGAAAGTATCGACCGGCACGAGCACTTCAGTCAACTCAGTATTTGATTTCGTTAATTTTGATTGGAAGACGCCGAAAGAACGTCTTTGAAACCCAGACCTGTTCTCCTTCAGGATGCATGATTCCACTTAATCAGCCCATAAACGCACTACACCAACATGTCCACATCACGCCTTGGCCGATGCGCGGACCTTGGCCAACGACTTGGAGACTTCGAAACGAGCCTGGTTATACGTTAGCGATTCATCTTTTGCATCGTCCTTCCTGCCCTTTGACTGCCTGGACTCATTAGAGCATTTTCGTACCTGCTTCCTCAGACGCATCACCTTGAATCTCTCGAAGTCATTGAGTGTTCTCCGCTTGGCGAGCTGCGCGCGTTTCTGTGCGAAGGGACTGTTGGCGAATTTCGATTCCACTTCTTCCTTCTCCCAAAGGGATTTTACTTTGCTGGAACCGGTTGCGCGAGGTAAACCAGGAATGACGTGAGCGGTCAGAGAGAGCTGTGAAAGCGGAGCGGCGTGACGGGGAACGACTTTGTCTTCGGAGGATGCTGGACCATCAACGAGAACCTGATTTCGGTCAGTCGAAACTGTTATGCTTGCTTGTTCGTTGCCAATGGTCGGAAACTCCAGATTTCCATGATAACGTACACGCTTGTGGTCGATAATTTCCACTATGGTTGCAAGGCGACCTGCGTATGGTCCATACGAAAAGAGAACGACTCGGCCGACTTCGACCTGTCTCCACGAAGATGCTGTAATATCGGCGTCACCCATTGCGACCTACAAATATCCCTGTGTCAGCAGTAGATTCCCTACGACTATGTCTGATGATAGAGTGGACGTACTTTCGGTTCGATGGGCGTGGGTGGAAGGTGCTCTGTTGGATTGACTTAGCGATCTTCAACTCATGGAGAGTTGGAAGTGTGTAGCAAAATCGTGTGGGTGACGGAAAAACTTCGTGCCGAACACCGCCCGCCTAGCGACACCACCTTGCACGCGCGCTAAGTTTTCTTTCCATACAAAGACTCTTTCTCTCCTTGCTTGACAGCCTCTTCGCTCACAAATGGTACAGCATATGACGAAGAATAGCAAAGTCAATAGCCTTAGCTACTGCGGGGCTCTACCTACGTCGGTAAGTTGAGATCCCCCCGAACTCCTATACCCCTCGCAGCGCTCTCCTGATGATATAATTTGCGAATGAGTTCGTTGACCGGAAACCCTCGCCGGGGTTTCTCAACGGCTACGACGCGATGATATTCCTCATACTCTGATTTAACCACATCGCCGTTCCTTGTATGAAATACTTAATGTTCAACGGAATCCAGCTAAATCTTTCTTAGGCCATCAAATTCTAATGAAACATGGTCTTGCATGACTTGTGGAATGTTGCCATTGATATATAGACTTTGGTAAGCTAATGATACCTACCCAACCCTCTCCATCCATCCCATTTTCCAATGATTAGAACCTACTAGATAGTAATTGACCCTACGGGGCATGATCATTTACACCAAGATCACTGAGGCAACTTTTATCTGCTGCAACTGCTGCCATCTATTGCTCTGTACTTACGCTAACATATTCCCTTGAACAGATGTATCAGTCGTCTAGATTGGACCTTCTGCTTAGTTGCTTACTGTGAACCATGGCTCAATACTGCATTCTGATATTAGCGAAAGCTTGCATGATTCTTCACAAGGATGTCTATTGCTATACGTGCAATTGATTCGTAATTCTACATACTAATATTTTTCATGCGTTAACTATGCTCTCATGATTTTCCTATCAGGCTTTGGGGCCATTAGGTGCGAGAGAGGACTGACAGAGATGTATTTATGTCCCTCAGATGGCCTTCAGGTAGATTAGTAAATATTTTAAACCTTGCACATTCATACTATACGGGCCTCGTAGAAGCTGAGGTGGCCACCTGCCCCTGCAAAAGTGAAGTCTTGGCGGAGCACGCTAGTGATGTAGCCGGCTAGTCCTCGGATGGGACGAGTAAGCGACGCCCACACTCAGAACCCCGTTGATCGAATTCGACTTTACGGTAACGACACTAACCACAGCAGCCGGTACGCATCGACAAAACCGCCAAAATGCGTACTTACGACGATACCTTCAGCGGTGCGAAGATCTACCCTGGAAAGGTGCGTGTCAAGTATCCCTTGAACCCCAAGCATGAATCGAACTCGACCGAGACAGAGCCACTACAGGAATGGAAAGATACGAGATGGTGGGCAAGAGAGCGTTCGAATTAATCACTAACTGCAATATATTTACAGGGAAAACTTTACGTCCGTGGCGACAGCAAGATATTCCGCTTTCAAAATGGCAAGTCGGAAAGTTTGTTCCTTCAGCGCAAGAACCCTCGCCGCATCGCATGGACGGTTCTCTTCCGAAGAGCTCACAAGAAGGGCATCTCAGAGGTATGGATTCGCACACTGGTTTCTTACAACACGCAAGATTCTTTCACATGACGTTATTACCTCGTAAATCTTTGCGCGAGAAACACCTAGCTAATTCAAGACGCGCTCTAGGAAGTCGCAAAGAAGCGTACCCGCCGTACAGTAAAACACCAGCGTGCCATCGTCGGTGCCTCGCTCGACGTAATCAAGGAGAAACGTAGCATGCGCCCGGAAGCGCGCGCTGCTGCCCGCCAGGCTTCAATCAAACAAGCGAAGGACAAGAAGGCAGAGTCTGAGGCCAAGAAGAAGGCCGAAAAGGCAAAGTCTGCTTCTGCTGCTTCTCGTGGACAGACTTCGCGGATTGCAAGCAAGCAGGGTGCGAAGGGTGCGGCATCAAAGCCAAAGCCTACGTCGCGTTAAGGAATGTGGTCTTTGCATCATGGATTGGGAACATGGATTCCAGCGTTTGAACTTGCATGAATGTCGTCCTCATCAGGTATCTTTTCTGAGCTGTGGCTGCTTCGAATCATAGGGGCTGGTTCAAAACCTGGAGCTAGTCGGCTGGTATGATACAATATGAACCAAGGACGAATGCATCTCTGTCCGCTGTACACATTCTATTCGCGATATATATCACGAATTCTAGAGCACATCAATATGCACAAACGCTAAGGAGTATGCATCTCTCGTAATAGCCTAGGTTCAAAACCATTCATCATTAACATGGCAGCATCCATTTGCGTCAGTCCCTTCAGCCTAATTCGAAATAATCGACCCGAAAGAACACACCAGGTGTAGAATCGATTGGAAACATCCATCAGCAAGAACTCCTCTGTCTGACAATTTCTAATCACGGGTCGTATGTTTGGGATTCCAAATTGATCTCCCACGTTTGGCCGGAGAGGGTGAAAGTAGGTTTCTAGATCAAGCTCACTCGGGTCGTTCGTCCACGGAGCAGTTATCATAAAAGGGTCGCCCAAGTCAACATGAGTGGCATCGTTCGGGCGTTCCATTGTTCTACGAGTATCTGCATGGAGCATATTAGGAAATATTTTCGAGTAGGAGGAGAAAGATCAGAAGATATGAGACCAGGCGCATTGTAAACCACAAACTCACATTATATCTTCGAAGGGCGTTTGCTAAATGAAAGCGCTCGATGATGTATTCATCGTAAAAGGTGTACGGCCCGGCCAGGCCACGTCATTGATTATTCAGTCCAATGATACCCCTGCCAAAGCGTCTAACATCCCACGTGCATAGAAGTCTCATTTAGCTGATAGACGCGGCCCGCGCTAGGTGACAGTATATGCAGATTGCCGGTATTTCCTCGGCTGACTTGGGGCGGGCGGGGCTTGCCCTGTAAATAATCTACCTACTTAGGTGTGTTCTATCCACAATTCCACGTAGACATTGTGTTAGCAATGACCCGATTGCGGTGTGCACAACCACTCGCCCTCCGATGGTACCGCAGTCCCATCGGCTCATCTTACATTTCCACGTGCCTACGAACTGCCCGCTTCAGTACTGGCTCTGCTGAACGAGCATCTAACCCCCCTCGAACTCATAAGCAACCCTCGCTCGTCCCTTGGGCCACCGCCTTCATCCTACTCTCGATTGGCTACGTCGTTGGCGAGTCCGTCCGCACCTTCATTCGTCCGCCATGGTACCCCGATCCCGGCAGCCCTGAAGATCAAATCATTCTCGATAAGATCGCCCACGATATCGACGAGCTCGCACTGGTCGCCTCTATGCGCATCAAAACAAAGTCTACGACTATCAACGCAGACGCCGAGGTTGGCGCATGGCGTGAACTCTTCATCGACAACATTGCTGAGACCGAATCCCCCGAAGGCACGTTGCCAGCGAACCCACTTACTCCTCGCACGATCACAGGGACGCGCACACTGACAGTGTCTACACTGCATGCCTCCGGTCTCTTCGGGCCACAGCGCGTCTTCTATAATTCTTACACACATTCACTTGTTGCGGTCGTCTGGCTCGGTGGAAATCTATCTGGGTGGCCCAATATAACGCATGGAGGGGCTATCGCAACGTTGCTCGACGAAGCGTGTACTCGGGCAGTAGCAGGGCCGGATCGGGGACTGGACGAGCCGAAGATGTGTAAAGGGGTAGAATTGAGTTATCTGAAGCCGACGATGGCAAATAGATATTACGTCGTCAAGGTAGACGTTGACGCTGGAGCCATGATACCGACTGCAAAGAATCTGCACACAGGAATGGAACCACAAGGTGATAGGAAATTACGAGATGCTCTAGAAGAAAAGAAGAAGGGATGGTTCACGTTCGGGAAACCAAGTCCTGAGGAGGATGTGGTGGTGCAGGCAACGCTGGAGACACTGGACGGGTTGGTATGCGCGAGAGCAAAAGCGACATGGGATGTTGAAGGGGCAGCGAAATTATAAGACGTGGAACAATCAAAGAGAGATGCGGTAAGCACCCTGCAGAAGAACAAGTTCACAGCGAGATCTCATGGCTAGCAATATCTATGAAACCCCGGCAAAGTCGGAAACCGCCCACACGTTTGACGTACCAAACAACCTCAACACCATAAAGCCAAATAGGATACGTTTGATCACTGGCCCTATGGGCGTAGAAGCCCCTATAATCTTTGTCGCGTGAGTCAAGACTGTAATGGGATCTCTGAGGATTCGGCAGCGTGGTATTAGAATATGTGCCCGCTTACTTCAAACTCTAGATGTCTTAGGGAGAAGAACGAGTTCTCTTCTCTTCCCGTGGCTAATATGTGATACAAGAAACATAACAAAGCGAACTCTGACGGCGACTCGTGTACTTATTAAGCTGGGCGTATGCACTGAATAGCATCATCGGAGCATGCCTGTAAACATTATGCTCAGGCGATGGGGCCGCTGCCCGACAATTGCAATAGCCCTCGAAGCAAAGCAGGCGATATCTTTAGTAGAGTCCAGAACCTTCGGGAAGGACAAGGCGATCAGCAGAAGCTACACAGTGTGAATCCCAGTTCTTCTTTCAGCTGGTCAGGTCAGACCTCCATATTATTTGGTGGTGTATGTGCTGCTATTGACATGAGATCGTCAAGGATTGGCATTGATTATATTGTCCCTAAAACATACTATAGAGTACGCATACTACTGCATATAACCAAACGACTAGCGAGGAGTCACGAAATTACGGCGTAGATGCGCTCATTATGTGACTCGACATTGATTTGTATCATTAGGGGAGCTAAGTTACATTTCTGGAAATGAGAGTCGCATGGGCACCTTAAATTCGACATGAGTATGAAAGGAGTACCGCTCCCGAGGAGTGTGAATGTCAAATAGAAGGCATCGTGTCTGCATGCTCATATCGATAGCCAAGGATCATACTGTAAAACTGACACGACTGTCATATATATACATGAATAAAATTGGCAATTACGACAGGGCGATCTGCTTGTGCACCATCTTTGAGATTTTTAGATTCGCACAGGTCTGTCTGTGGAACAGATATTGGGCACGTTTCGAGACAGCATCCATGCAAACATGGTTTGGATTACAAAGTGAAACGAGATCGAACGTGCTTCAGACCGGCGGAACATCCGAATGTTTTGAATGGATATGAAATTGAACATGTTTCGATGCATGTGACATGTATACATTTGAATACTCTTGGCCGAGATGGAGAGAGAAGTGGTTCCGTTTGAAGTTATCGAGAGCGTTGGGTGCCCGATATCCATGTTATACAGTCCATCGACCAATACCGTGCCAACAAATACAAGCTCTCGGTCCGCCCACCCAGCGGCATTTGGCGTTTGTTTGATGCTTTTCCAAACAGTACAACCTAGACGCCACGCTAAATAATAAAAGAACTTTGTACAAAAAATGAACAGTGAAACCGTTCCAAGAGCATAGCTACTCATCAACCTCCGTTGCCTTCGTATCATCTCCCTCACCATACCGTCTTTTGAAGACACCCTGATTCGCCTCCTCGCGATCCCTCCTCATCCCATCCAACACAGCCACTAACCCTCCCTGTCTCAATCGCTCCAGCACAACCTTCATCCCCTCTTTCGCGTTTGGCTGGCTCCTCTGCGCTCTCTTAAAGCCGATGCTTTCAATACTGCGCTGCACAGGTCCCATACTCCATCGACTGAAAAACCCTTGCTTTTCATCTCCGTTCATCGTCCCGCTGCTGTTTGACCGCCACTTCAAAAGGTTCACCCGGCTCTGTAATACTACAGTCGTCGTCACATCCGTCTTCTCGTAGGTCTTGAGGTCTGCCTCACGACTGTTCGGCCCAATGATCCCGTGTGCCGCCGCCGCATTCTCGCAGTTGCTGAACGTGATATTCGTTACTTCAATCGGTCGCCGGTACATCTGTTTCTCAATCACGCTGAGCACCCCCGTCCACTCCAAATTCCGACTCTCAGTCTTCATCCACCCATTCTTGATGTCCACAGTGGAAGTCTCGAGGATGAAGGATTGACTGTCACCTTTTTCGCTTGCTCCAACGGCTCGACGAGGCAGAAGGGCGAGAACAGCGGCGGGCACGCGGGATTTCTTGAGGTGGAGGCGCGTGGTAGTGAGTTGTTGCGAGGCCGGGTCGTAAGATCGATCGATTACATCAGTGGAGACGACATGTGTAGAATAAGGATTAGGGTAGCGAAGAAAGTACGCCAGGGCGACGGCAGAGAAAGAGTAGTCGTAGCTGTAGGAGGTTTCGTAGAATTTGACCATTGTAGAAGTTGTTAAAAGAAAGATTTAGGCAAGACACATGTTCGCAGAATAAGTGTGGAGGTGTTGGAGCTTCGTACACGTTGAGATTATCGGGTAATGGTTAGAAGACTCGGAAGTTGGGTTGGTCGTGGTATAGTAGACGTGTGTGAGGTGGTGATGATGATGGCGAGGCAAAACCTCATACGAGGACGAGGACGGCCAGGTTCTGCCCGGATGAGGCTAGCGTTATGCAACAACTGTCGAGACCGTGCGGGGACCAATCACAACTCAATGTCCAATGACCATGATTGCACGTTCATGTCTTTGATAGGATTGAGGCCTCTTTACTTCCATTATGATGAACGTAGGACGTCTTGAGAGGATGCATAGTTTTACACGATAGATTAATCAGACCGCCCAGACATTTCGTTTCTGTCATGATAATCCCAATTCCACCAATTCACTCCTTATTAAGGCTATAACTTCGATGTCCTCTGCATATAATGTTTCGTAGCATAGGCGACTACACATGATATTATTAGTAACGGTCACCTAGTATAGTTAGCGAAGTTCACTCACGAGCAATCAGTACCGCCCACCTGACCAATCCACTACCCTTGCTGTTGGCACCTAGTCCAATGAGCCAGCCACCCCAGCTTGCCTTCGCGCGTCCTTGGCGATCGAAGTTCGGGGTCGCCTCGTTCAATCTGGCGAATTGCTTCTGCTTGCTCATGTTGTATGGCGGGTACCTGACGTCTAGTAGACCCTCAATCCAGCCCGGCGTGGTTGTCACACTTCTGCGGTGAGTGAAGCATTCGAACGACGCACGCCCACGGTATGCGCCCTGACCGGATGTACCTACACCGCCAAACTGCAGCGTGGGAATGGATGCGTGGTAGAACCCATCATTAACTGATGCGCCACCGGAGCGAGTCTGGTTCAGGATTTTATCAGTCTCGGCAGTAGTACCAAAGGGGTAAATCCCTAGCGGAGTGTCATGCACGGAGTTAGCGATGCGGATAGCTTCGTCAATGTCGTTCACAGCCAGGACGGGGATGAGCGGACCAAAGGACTCATCAGCTAGGAGAGGGTCATGCTCGTCATTGACCTGCACTACGGTTGGCTCAATGTACAAGTCTGCTTCATCCATGTGACCGCCATGGAGGATGGTGCCCTTGGTGGACTCGAGTAGCTTCTTGAGGCGATCAAATTGACGTTTGTTGACGATGCGACCGTAATCGGCGGACTTCTGAGGGCCGTCGGGGAAGAATTCGCCGAGCGCTTTTTTGACTTGCTCAATGAAAGCCGGGAGAATGGACTTATCGATGAGGGTATAATTCTGCGAGACACAAACTTGACCCGCGTTCAGACACTTCGCCCACATGAGGCGACGGGCAGCAAGACGTGGGTCAGCATTCTTGGTGACAATGGCTGGGTTTCGACCGCCGAGCTCAAGTGTTATGGGTGTGAGAGTCTCGGCAGCCTTCTTTGCGATGATCTTTCCGACTGCTTCGCTGCCCGTGTAGAAGATCTTGTCCCACTTCTGATCCAAGACTGCGGTGGTTTCGGGGACGGCGCCCTGAATGGTGGTATAGCATGTGGGGTCAAGATATTCGGCCAGAATCTTTTGCATGACAGCTCCGGCGTGAGGCGCATTCTCACTAGGCTTCAGAACGACTGTACAGCCAGCTGCAATGGCAACAATGACCGGTCCAAGGGAAAGTTGGATGGGAAAATTGTAGGCACTGGAAATATCAAGTCAGACACGAAGCGACCTCCATGGATGTAGTGAGGTATTGTGGAGCTCACCCAATGACCAATACAGTGCCCAATGGTTCTTTCCTAATTCTTGGGCTGAATGCCGTGTCCATGAGCTTTCCATCTGGTGCCTTCTCGTCCTTTGCCCAGGCCTCCAGGTTGTTACACATGAAGATAATGTCATTCTCACACCAAGAGCTCTCAGTCAGGTAGGTTTCGAAGCTTGACTTGCCGATGTCTTTCTTGCAGGCTTCGACAATGGCTTCGCGGTGGTCTTTCAGTCTGTCAATTGATTTGTTAGCTGTCTGCTTCCTGTATCGGTGATAGGCTAAGACCCAGACAGGGCATGAAATATCACTTACCCCCAGTAGAGCTTCCTCAGTTGCTGAAGCCTGAACTCGATTGGTCTGGTCTTATGGGAAAGAAAGGCATTGCGAACGTCTCCACAAATGTTAGATATCTTGTCGATGGGCGTATGCTCAAATGCTGGAATAGACGTCATTGCGAACAGGTTCTTCGATCTGGTCCGTGGATGTAGTTGCTTGAGCGCAGTGTGAGATGATGCGATACAGATGCAAGGTGGTTTCGTCGAAGACTTGCACGGTAGATGTTAAACAAAGGGGAGGTCCAGTGTTGAGAGAGGTGACGACAACGTTGAAGCTGTGAGCAACCTTTTGAAAGGTATACTTTGAAAGGTATACCTAGGTATGATATAACCTGTAATCACGTTCATCATGGGCCTCGGTTCGGCTTAGCTCGAACCTTGAGCGCTGCAACAGCCCCGCTTGAAGCTCCCAGGCTCGCTCGGTTGCTGCCTCAGGTGTCTATCGTGTGCTAACACTCTCCTAATTAACACTGCTAGGTCCCTACTATCTTGTAAGTTAGTTAGGTATAGGTAGGTATATGTGATTTACTTGTAGGGATGAGATGGGTAGCTTAGATTGTCTTCCTATATTGCAACCCCCCCTCAGCTGCAGTATAAGATATTCAGGATAGTGAGCTTACCGGACACAGCTTGGGGCCTGAGGAGCCAACCCATCCAGTCTGATAATGCCGTTGACGTTCACCACTATCATCAACACTTGATAGACAGAGGTCAATCGGAGCCGGCTAAGCAGTCGCATTTGGACAAAATTCATGACGGACGTCTCGGCCATGCTGAGACCCACGATGCAAAGGCATATCATCCGGCAGGGAAGATAATTAATCTGCAAAGAACATTCACCAATGCAGTACATGTGTTCTCAGTTCGCGACATTATCTCCAGACTTCATCCCCTGCCCCATCAAAGCTTGTTGAACATTGGCACTCTGCCACTACAAGCCTTGACCGACTCCCGCGCACAACAATTGGAGGGTGGGTCAGACGGCACGTGTACCCCAAGCCTTTCCATCAAAGGAAGGTCACTCGGCTCCTCGCCCATCGCTTTGCCGCTAAAGGATCAGGATCTCAGCGATGGCGCCAATGGCCTTCTCGAAGCAGCAAGACTACATCCATGGATGGAATCGAACGGCATGACGAAAGATGCAACATGTCGTCTGCCTACTCACGTAATCATGTTGTCGTCTTACATCTTACTTGTGAGGACGTCGACATTTCTCTTCTTCCTGCTCGCCTACTATGCGACAGGACCCGTGTTGATCGGGACGGTTGATAACTCGTGAGTGGAGAAGCAACCAGATAGTTGGCACATTAGAGACATCACAAGAGCTCGGAAAGTCTTCCTTGAATCAGGGCCGCATCCAACAGCACCATCTGATTCCTCGCGCGATCTGCAAGATGGCATCCGCAGCATCGATGACAGCCCTATGGTCTCTCATCACACTTCTCTTCTTTACCTCAACCACCACCTCTGTGCGAATCACTCGTCCCACATACTTCCAAACCTTGGCCCCCAGCAGCAGCTCCTCGACGGACTCAACGCACCTCCTTAAGCGTCTTACTGGCGATGCCAAAACAGGTGTCGCGCTGGGCGTCGTTTGCGGCGTCTTTGCAATCGTGAGCTTGATTGTCGCATACACGGGAATCATGTACAATCGAAAGAAGAAAGCCAAAGCTAAGGCGCGGCAGCTGGAGATTGAGAATGGCATAGCAATGGAGACTGACGGGCGAGGCGAGCAAGCGGCGCTTGGAGATCAAATGCCGCCGGTTTATCAACAGACGGTGAATCAGGCCGCCCTGGGTACTACCAAGGGTATTGATGTCAGTAAGATTCGACCGAGTCGGACCGGGTAGAAGGAGGAGGAATAGTCCCGCGCGTGAACAAGGCATCCGCTTGAATGAAGATATGTAAGATGAGGAGGGTTGGGAATAGCAGAACAGGTATTGGAAAGTGAGGACAGGGAAAGTGGCATTAGGGAACGTTCATGTATATTTTCAGCTCCAAGTTCATTCCAACAGTCTGGTTAGCAGCTGTATCCGGTCGGCCGATCTATCTGTGGCAATGTTCATCCCGCTGTCACACACACAGCAAGTGTAGACCCTGGCAACTTCGTCAACCAGACTGGTCCTCCTCTGACACTCTTACCACTATTATGCGCGATCTCATCAAACATTGCCTGTACGATCGATCTTATGAACGCGCCCGGCGAAAGAATGTCTAGTCAATGTATCCGAGTTCTTAAACGCGTATCGCGTAGGGCTTGCCAGTAGAGCAGTACTCATGCTCAGAATGACATGTATCCATCATCTGGCTCGGTCATAAACCTACTAGCGTATAGCTCATCTACACCGAAAAGGTTCGAAGCACTTTCATATCCAGAGGGGCCATTGGACACAACGCTCTCAGCTTGTCCAGAAACGAATGGCGTTACTCCACGAAGACGCCGCTTGCAATATGGGTGATATACTGAGTTGATAGGAGAGATAATAGCAACTCATTGAGAAGCACGTGTCCTGCGCCATGCCAGAGCCGGGAACCACATATCCCTACCACGCGAGGAGTTGGCTCTGAACGAATGAGATGAAGCCATTGCATTCGACCTGTTCAGGGTCTGTAATGAGTTGCTACATGGTTCTGATTAATTGGAACCAGCATCAGATCAGGAATCCTGTGCGAGAATCAAGGGCTGACTGCCGCAACACACTGGTTCGATTACTACTCTGCGTTTGGGTGGATGCATTTGACGTTATAACAAAGGATGCAGGATAGCGGACAAAGGTCTTGTGCCGCATATTTGCGGGCCGCATTCAGCGACGCTGGTGGCAAAAATGGTGAACGTCGAGTGGCACGGAGTGAGGGACTGACGACTTTGTAATAATAGAGGGTTGGTATGTCGTTATTGCCCAACCGCGATCGGGCTAAATTTGAAAATCATGGGTGGTGTAGTTTGGCGAATGTACGGAATAGTGCAGCCGTGTTGACTGCTGCATTGTGACGTCCGGTCGAGTGATCAGATGCTAGTTGGCAATGTCTGGTACGGGAGTCACAACCAAGCACGTAATGTACGCACTGCGGCGCAATTGAGGCTTTGTGTTGACCATCTCCTCATCATGGGCATTTGGCGAGAGGTATGGATACGTGATCGAGGCTGTGGTGATATGTCGCTCGTCTGGCAGATAACCTCGAAAGCTCAAATTACAAGAAAAGAATCGAATGGTCTGGTGGACGTCAGTCGGTGCCTTGCGAAATGCCATTTTCCAAAGTCATAAACAGTTGCCTGTTTGGAGTTAGTCTGTGATGATTAGGTGGAGGCGTGGGGCAGCCGGGGAGTGCAGACAGGTTGAGACATGATAAGAGCGGCAACGGTTTCGCGACGTCAATCAACCCCACAATCGTGTTCAAACCTCAAAGGTAGCAGGATTCCTGAGGGAAGACATGTTTGAAACGATGAGCTGCCTGAGGAATATGTGAAACTGTGTTTCTTGTTATGTGGGTGGTTGGCTTGGAGGATTAGACCCAACATCACGACAGATCCTTCAACAGTCACCAACCTGGAGTGCATGTCAAGCAGAGCATGGAGCAAGCTACACGGGACCATAGCAGCTCGCGTGGTGCCAGGATTACGGATGGGATCGTAGAAATTGACACGCGGCGGTATGCAACGATGCGGCGTGCCGTACGGTTGGTCGGCCTAAGATGTGCGGCAGCAGGGACATATAATTAACAATAGATCTAGAACGCTGAACATTGTTAGCGCGTTGGTATGTTGGTGCGTTGGTGTTTGCTGCGAAGATATCATGAGATTACTGACTGCTTCGTGATAGCATAGGCGCCGTGGTCCACAAACAAGTACAAGTATAGCTACATGTAACATGATATTGTTGCATGGTATCACGGAGACGGGGTGTGTATCGGGAAAAGAAGCCAGCGTCGACGGTGACCGGTTAATCCTGGTCGCCAATAAAGCCACTTAATTAGCTAGCTTCGTTTGTCCTATTGAGGTTGTATCTGGCCGACACAACAGACAAGCTAATGTCAACTGGCGGCCTGTCTATCGTGTAGGTGGGTGAAATTGGCTGCATTGAGGCATTTAACTTGACCTCCCCGCAGTAAAATGGCTAGACACGGAATGGATCCAAGTGGCTCCAGATGGCGGCTTGTCTCAGTTATGTGTAAATATGTTAAATAAGAGCGGGCATAACTTCTCGGTCTCATACATGATACGAATAGGCTACCTAGGAGTGCGGGAAACATAGCCAAAACGACCGAGAGCCCTGGTGTCGAAGGCTAGGTTGGCAGATTGACGAGCAGCGCGCACGAGACTCTTTTTGGACGAGTGCTGTCAAGCGAGACCAGCGTTCTGCGTACAATGTCAAAGTGTAAGAGATATATAATAAGCGCCTTGGACCTTGCTACGGACGGTGAGGCAAAGCGGAGAAAGCGACGGGGGTGGTAATGATGAATGCGCTGGGGTCAGGGGACGGACAACAGGGGGGAGAAGCGGGAGAGAAGTGTGGTTGGAAGCTTAGCGACAACAAGGTTAACTATTACTTGTTAGCGACAACTTAGAGTTGAATAATCGTGGACGTGTTGTACTAATTAATTATAACTGTTGTTCATTAGTGGACGTCAATCGTTAACCGAGACGGCCGGACGACCGAACTCAGTTCTGTTCCTCTCTCTGCCTCTGCCTCTTTCTCATTCTTCAGTTCTCTTCCCCTCCAACGCACACGAGAGATGTCCTGCAGATGCGCTGCATATCCTGTCTTTCTCAATCCTGGGCCTGTTGCATGCAGGAATATGTTCAATGATCCAGACTTCGTTTCAAGGTGCGACTCGTGAGTATCCATTTCTCAGCCGTCGCGCGTTTTGCTTGACTCTCCCGCAAAAATGCCACACGGCATATCAAACAGAACCAGAACGAACGCCACACGCGTGCCCAGTCCTAATTCCTTGAGCCGCCCGTGTTGGTGGCATACATCCTGCTTGGGGCCCTTGTCCAGGACCCTCGAGGCTCGAGAGACACGACTTTCTGTAACGAGATGCATGCGAGATGTGAGATGTGAGATGTGACCTGCCATGGCACCTTCGTTGCCTGCTCATTCATGCCTCCACACCCGTTACCCGTCTCCCGTCCCCCGTTTATGTCTGCGTGTCAGCAAGTATATAAAACTCACTGCTCGTCCACCACGAGCCGGACTGTCACTCGCTCATCATTATCAGCTTCAGTTCTTACGACCGTCTGTCCTGTTCATCTTTGTTCTTTCTTCGCGCTTCTCCTATTTCAGGTCGTTGGCAGCGCGGCCTTCTGCATTACCCGCCACCTCTGCGTCCACGCCACATACCTTCCCACCCTCCATATCTTGCGCCTCTCACTATAAGCGCCCTCATACAAGTCTCATTCCTGGTCTCATTCCTGTGAAAATATTCTCTACTTCTTCTCGTATTCTATCAAGCTTTGAGCAGCTTGCTCTAATTCCATCTACTGCTACGAGTACTTCAATCGTCACATAGATACATCTCAATTGTTTACGGTCTACACATCCCGCTTCTGGGATTGTTTACCAGCGTCCAAACATCAAGACTCCCTCCGACGGTGGAAAGCTCGACATACACATTTGGGCTGAATTGGCTTAAGCTTTCCAGATACACCAGTAGTGTCTTCTATCAGTCGTCGACCTCACTCTGACCCACTCGAATCCGCCCTCCACTCGGCATCAGTTTCATTTTCGTCATAAACTCTCAAAAATGCTATTCCTCGGCATTCTCCTGGCTGCCGCCTCCCTCTCCTCTATTGTTCTCGCCGCCCCAGCCAAGCGTGATCTTGACAGCATAGTTCTACCAGAAAGTACTCTCCCGGCTCCCGCCAGTGGTCTCAAGCTCAAGTACATCATACTTGGTGTCGGCACTCAGAACTACACTTGCGCAGATGGCGCTGCAGGAACCCTCGCCACTGCCGTCGGTGCCGTTGCTACTCTTTACGACATGTCCAGCGTTGCCAACGACCCCTTCTCCAAGGAGAAGATCCAATGCACTCCTCCCGTCGCCCTTGGCGCCTACACCATGGGCCAGAATGTCCTCGATGGATACGTCAAAGTTGCTGGCTATGCGAACGTCATCGGCAAGCACTTTTTTGACGCTTCGGGTGTCCCAACGTTCGAACTCAGTGGTGCCAGCGTCAGTCCTAAGCCGCTCGTCAAGGCTGCCAAGAAGGCGAACGTGGCTGCTCCCGCGGGTGCTTTCGCTGGGATGCCACCTAATGGTGCCGTCGACTGGCTTTACCTTGCAGACAATGGCAACAGTGTCGGCTTGACGGCTGTGTACCGTGTTGAGACTGCGGGCGGCAAGGCCAACAGCTGCGAGAATAAGCCTGGCGCCCAGGAAGTCAAGTACGCGACCGAGTATTGGATGTATGGTTGAACCTTCACCTCAGCTCTCGTCTCTCCACCTTGCCCTAGACGAATCACGGCGGCTACGACAGCATGCACTTTTAGATGTTTGAAACAACACAGCGTCCCTTGGACGCATAGCTTCTCCTCTCCCTTTATGTATATACCCTACCCTACCCTTCAGGGTCACGGTCGCAGCATTGCAGGAGTACTATGTAGTGGAGCCAGGCGCATGACGGCGCACAGAGGGATTCACATGTGTCTGAGTTTTATGTCATCAAAACTCACATCACGGTCGTGGTCGAATAGAAGTCCTATTAGATCGGCGTTACCGCGCTGGACATGAAATGAACTATTTCAATCTTCGTCCAACCTCATTTCCAAATTGCTTTTAGAATCACCGTGAACGTTAGACCAGACTCCCATCGACGCTCTCCAGCTTTCAAGGTTGAAAGTTTCCTTCCCGCCGGCCCTGGCGTTCTTTCCACTTTCGTTTCCTTGCTCAGTGCATGACCAGGCTTGGGAGGTAATTAGCCCCGTCTGACGCATACCCAAATCGTGATCCTCGCTTGCACACTCAATATCCCAAAATTCACAAGCCCCCTGATACTGACATAAACATCGTCTCTCGCTTCAGCATCCGCATCTCAGTCTGACTTGCACCTTACTGGCCTGTTTCTTCATTCTGTACAATTACCCGAACCGAATCCACCGCATTCATGGACTAACGCTCCTTCATCTGCCACTGTTGCTTTTCATAATTGATACTTTTAAGCAAATACATCACTTGGGCAGCTATTTCGAACCTTTATCGATGTAGAGACAGCGCATTGTACACTAAGCATCACACAGCATGTTCAGCAGCACGAGTTCGCTGGAAGCGTTATATCCTCCTCGGTCTTCTTTCCCACTCTAACTTCCATTTCTATCCGAGGGCCTACTGACACACTCAGTACAGCGACGCCTCAGCGCCTGGCCCATAAAGTAGAACTTGGACTTGGAAACTCCCGGATCGTATTCATGTTTTCCCTTGAGCCATCGAATCGTCAATCTGGAACTTACCAAAACCCGACCATACTCAATAACTAATAGCTATAGTTCCATTCACACCTGCGTGTTAGTGCTATGTCTCAGCGGCACCGGCCACGCAGCCGTCTATGTGCTGCATGCATGTGTGCGTAGGGTTCAAGGCAATGTCCATGGAGCTTGGCTGTCGGGACAGGTCGTGTAGAGCTGAGAGTCTTTCGTGCCTATATTGTGCGGGTGCGGGACTTGTCATAATAGTATGCTGGACTAGGATATATACGTTCCTAACTCATGATAGTACTGGTGGGTCTGATTATATGATGCTAGACGTGGCAATCATCGAGCTTGAAAGGAGCGTTAGACGGCTTCTCCCAATTGAGGAAACCGATTTTTTTCTACCAATCCGCCGGAATGCACTTGGCTCATCAGGAGAGACACTGCTAAATCGACCCGCTGATACTAGTGGAATTTGCCTGTGCGACACAGGGGAGAATCAAGCTCGTTAGTCTTCCTAGGGACTTTGATTTCTGATTACCCCCTAAGAAGGGTAAGAGATTGCAACGAAGAGTTCACCAATCTTTCTCACCTCTCGTAGAATTAGAACTATGATAAACCGCCGTGGATTGAGATTGGTGTATATCCCGACCCCATCAGCGTGGATCATGACTCATACTAGCAGTATCTAGAGGACTCGATAACGCCTACTCATCATCATTCTATAGGAACAAGTTTCATTGATTTGAAGCAAAAAAGAAGACCCATGAAACCTGCTAGAACTGTCTTGTGCCACCCGGTCGTTCTTAACGAGAGAAAGAATACTAGTGACATAGTCCTAAATCTAGAGGCTACTACTTGAAGTATCTTCAAAAAATGGTGTTTCGCAGAGTGGCTATACATAACTCCTAAAGGCCCGTTATCCACGTTGTTTTGGAGCTCGCTAACATTAAACCGGAAGGATAATTCGTTTCAACTCGACCTCCGCTCAGGAAGGTCCCCATACCGGCACGAGCTCAGCCTTACATGACTCAATCAGTTCGTGGAAGCCGAACGATTACTTGCGTTACGCCTCGTATAGTCGGGTCTAGACATACACCTGTACGATGTAGGTACATAGCGCGGGGCGACATCTGGGCACCATAGGATTGCATCGCCTTCGATCTTGAAACATCCATTCCCTAGGTACTGCATGAAGTATCAGATCAATACCTGTTTCAGCGCATTGAAGTCAATCGAATTACTAGATTTAGTAAAGCATTGCAGGCTCAGTAAATACTATTACTACCCCATATACTATATCTTTTCATAAGCTCGTGAGGGTGAAGTCAAAGCTTGAATTGTCCAACTTGCTTGTCCTGACTTGTGGATACTTTTTCCCCGACTGAACGGAGCCATCGCTTTGTCCAACGGTCCTGCATTTGCTTTCCATCGAACGAACAAGCTTCCTGGAATTCGAAGGATGCGGACTCCCCACTATCGGAAACAAGTTCAAACGCGTTAGGTTTTTGTCTAGAAAATGATCGCGAGGATGCGCCGCTTGGAACGATGCATGCGTGCCGATGCGCCGCGCCGCGCTTGATACTAATAGTCGAAACGGCCTGGGCTTCGGGCTAACTAGACCTCTTATAGGGAACTTTCCCGGCGTTTCATCCATCACTGCATTATTGTGGGGGTCTACAATCTCACGTATACAAGACATTAGACATGCCAAGCGCATAATAGTGTAGGTAGATCAGCAAATCAACCCGATGACAGACCCACATATGGGACTTGTATGTCTTCGAGTCGTGAGCACAATTTTTGGAATGGATCTCCCTGCAGTTCTGTATTCTAAATTAGGTCTCGGTCTGGGTGGACCGTCTAACAACCAATGGTGGACTCGCTGCGACATGCGTGTAGTTTATTCGCCGGGTCTCGAAACCATCTCTACGTTTCGATGTATCAGGTATGCGATAATGCAGATAGCATGTCAGTATTCTCACTCACTCTATTATGATGTGGATGTGCCCATGGGTAGAAGCCTAGGAAGCTGGTAGGGCGTCAGAAATCTACTACAGGACTTATCAATTGTCCAAAGACAGCCTCTGATTCGCTAGGTCTTGGTCCTTAACATGTATAACGCGCGCTTATTCCTACTCTAGGCTCCTTGTCAGATGAAGAGGGTCCCACAGAAACGAAACGAAACCCCACTCCTTTCTTCCAAGTCCAGATGCTAGGAAGGTCAGGCACATTCGGGCCGAATGGAGAAGCTTGGAGACGAGGAAGGTACGCGGGATACAAGCATTTTGAGGTTCATTGCACAAGAAAAGGTATATATGTCGGCGTGAGCGTCCATCTTGTGTGATGGCAACGACTACGTGTTCACCCTCGTTTAAGGATACCAAAGCCGTTCTCTTCAATTCCCCGTTTCTCTTTTTATATATCTTGCCCTCATATTGGCAGCCACATTCACTATCTTCTTTTCAATCTCTTCTTCTTTCGCTCCACGTCTGTGACTTGCGAGGATGTTTTCGCTATCGGGCTCGCTCGCTCTTATTTCCCTAACAGGGTCGGCACTGGCTGCCACCGCCACGTACGCTGTTCAGATGGACCACGACTTCTTCGCTGGGCCACAGACTGGAATCGGCTCATGGTTCCGTGCAGACGCAGACCAGGACGCTACGAATGGAAACAGTTGGTGCGGATACAAATACTCCAACAGCGATCCGATCATTGCGGTGGTATGTTGTCTATTCGCTATATCTAGTATACCAATAGATGCCACTCGGACTGTACTAATAGAGAGTTAGTCTCTTAGAAGAATGGGCGGTGCAACATACAATTCGGACCCCGAGAAATGGAGACATATAACTAAGAAGTACTGTGGCCTCGAGGCCAAAGTCACTGATCCTCAAACGGGGAAGTCGAAGCTAATGTATATCGGGGACGGTTTTGATGAGAAGTGGGTGAAGGTACATTCTGTCCGCACCTCTCTGCCATATTAATATCCCTAACTTTACATGTCGTAGTCGCCATCCTCCATCGACATTATGATTGACGCGTTTGCGGATATCCATCATCATCCAGGGAACAACAAGAACGACGTCATCAGAGGTGTCAAATGGGAGTTGACCGGCAGGATTAATGAGCAATGGGCGGCACCAGGCGCAGATTGGTCCGTTAAAAAGATGGACACTGGAAGTGACCCATCCCCCGATTCAGACTCTGGAGAATACAAACCTGCTCCGATGACCTTCATCACATCGAAGAAGCCCGCCAGCCCAACTCCTGCTCCATCTCACGAGTACAGCCCTGGCTCAGACAACCAAAAAGCACCCATGGGACACCCACCTGCTAAGCAATCCAATTCACCACCAGCCCCTACTCATGTTCCCTCCGACGAATACAACCCTGGCTCAGACGCCCCAAAAGCGCCAATGGGACACCCGCATGCGAAGCCATCTAATGCGCCACCTGTACCCACCCATGTTCCGTCAGAATCTACTCCTGACCAGTATTCCGGGAAGCCTTCACCTACCCCGACTTCAGGTGCTCCTCCTACTAATGCTGGTAAGGATACCGAAGGAGCTCATGACAACGGCAGTAACGATGCGAACGAAGACACCAGCAAGGACTCGGAGACGCCTGGTGGCTCGTACAACCCTGGACGAGAAAACTCATGGCCGTATTGCAAGGATAAAGCCGGGTCTAAGCAGTAGACTGGTGGGCCCAAGAAGAGAACGAAGATCTGTCATGATATTGCCCGAGGCCTGATTCTTTGTTACGACGCTCTTTACGAATTCTTCCGCCGTATCTCTTGCACTGGCTGTGTTCGGGTATATAGGTGCGTGCCGGCCGGTACGGATGATGTATTCTTTTCGGCCGGCCCGATTGATGCGTCTATTTTCTTGAAGCTTGAGGCTTGTGCTATGTAATAACTATATGTAGATAGTTATCATAAACCGCGAATGTGCGTGTACTATAGCAAAGCCAAGCTCTTAAATTCGAGTGCATAACATGTCTAAGAGACGAAAAAGGTACTCGAAAAGGCATAAGCCTACGGAAAGAAGGGAGTATCCTTCACGGAATAGCCTTGACGGAATACAGTATATATTCTCTATGATGCAAGGCAGATATTTCTCTCCTGATTACACTGTCACTGCTTCACAATATACCATAACAGGTCCAATGTAAGTTCATAGTTCACATGAGTAGTGTACGGTTCTTCATAATCTAACTAGATTCATTAGTTGAGAGTCAGCAGTTGCTAAAATGATGTACTTACGACGTACCTAATATATACCACTTAGGGTGACGATCCGTCATCCAATAGGGAACTCTACATGAGTAATTCATAGACATAAATGTCCTCTAATCCTACAGTATTTGGCGCAGGCATGAACTGACTGAGATCTTCTAGGCTGGTCTGGTCTTAGTCTCTCTCAATATTCGATGTCACCATACTGTCGAGTTATGATGGCTTTTGATTACTATTGAATGGGGTATTAAACTCTGAAAAAGCTTGGAACGAATCGGCGGGAAATCTACTTCGACAGCACATCGTCCTTCCAGTTCCATCTTTCCTCTGTGCCATCGAAGCTAGCGTCTCGTTCTAGCCAGCGCCCCTTCCGGTCCTCACCTTCCCAGACATACGCTGGTATGTGGAAGGTTCCTTGTCCAGTCGCATGCACGATCACGTCCTTGCTCAACTTTGAGAAGCCGAGCTTCTCATAGAAGCCCGTTGCTTCGAGATTGGCCTCTAGGTATATCGGGAGATCTTCCCTCACAGCCAGCTCCATAGCCCAATTGATAATCATACGGCCCACGCCTCTAGATTGTATGGCCGGATTGACAACGATTAAATGGCAGTGGAGGCAAGCAGGTCGCGCAGATCTACCACTGCGTACGATGGCAGCCATGAAGTTGTTTAGAAACTCATAGTCTATGCTCCTGTCTGTGATGTAGCGACACCATTTCCGCTCGACCCAGACCAATCTACTTTCCAACCAATTCGCCCATGTGCTTTCGCCGACCCACCTCTTGTACAGTGCTGTATCTGAGCCTTCTACAAGCCAGGCTCCCGAGCCAAGAATTTCCCCGGTGGACGGGTCTTCAGCGACGATAGTGCGGAGATCTGGCTGTGCGAAACGCTCACGGATGATCTTGAGCCGCCACTGATAGTAGTCTATTGGGTACTGGACCTGATATGGTGCTATGCGTCTGTGGAGAATCGATTTTGCGTTTGCAGCATTAGCGATATGAGCCAGCGTAGGAATGTCGGCGCGCTGAGCAGGCCGAATAGTAACGTTACCGACCATTATCAGTAGCATATGAAGTTCACAGAGCTCAAAGTTGGAAGATCTCAATGCTGGGTACGGTACAGTAGGGTCCCGCCAAGATTAATTAGGCATCCTTTCCTCCGTAACTTTTTCAGCGCAACTCTTGGCACGTGTTCCGCGCGTTTTCCACCTAAACCCCCTTTTTAGAAGAAATAATATATTCTTTATTAACTCTAGAATTAAGACTCTAGGAAGCTTTCTATTTATATCTAAATATACTTCTATATAGACCCTTACTTTTTATATATAAAAGATAAGAGAAAAAAAATTAATAAATAAGTTATTCTAAAAAATCTTTAAAGAGTAGATATCTTAAAGAGATAAATAGAGATTCTTTTAGAATAACTTACTTACTTATTCTTTTTTCTTATATTTCTTATATAGAGTATAGTGTTAGAGTCTATATAGAAGTATATTTAGATATTATTAAAAAACTTCCTATAGCTCTAACTCTAGAGATATTAAAGATAATATAATATTTTAAGATTATAAGAAAATATTATATTACGCGCGACCCTTACTAAGAGTTATACTAAAAAGTTACTAATGGATCCAATTGTAGCGCCTTGCTAATTCGTTAAGAACGATGTTATTGTCATGGTGTACCATCCGTTCTTACCGCACATTATTAGGCCGATGCCGATGATAACCTGGAAAGTCGTAACAGCGTTCTGAATATTTACGAGGTTCGAAATATCCCGCTGTCTACTCAATAAAATGGCGACAGGTCAGAGAAGATGGTGTGGACGCCCACGAAAACGGGTATGTATAAACCCTCTTATATGCGTAAGTGTGTTCTATTTATGAGTGCGACAGTCTTGTGGGTTCTCTTGTAACCCAAGTTGACGCACAGCCTCGCGACACGCGAGTTGTTCGATGTGGAGTGTTTAGGCACGTCATCAAGCCGCTGTGTTATTAGACCTAAATTGGATCACAATCACTGCACTTCGGCTGTGTTCTGCAACGAATCGAGCGCACCTCGCAAGGCTTCGGACGGTAGGTTAGCCGTTCTACGTCGCCATGAGAGCGGAAAGTACTCGGAACGCCTCTATGATGATAGGGTCTTGGTAAGAAGCCTATAAGTTTCTTTGTGGCTCAGCAACTGAATACGATACTGTTTAGTACTTATAATCAGGATGTATGAAATGAGACGAGCAGCATGAACATGGTTCTGATAGGAACAACATCACACGAGGAATGAATCTGGCTGGTAGATTGCCTATGACGGCTGCTAATCACGGACTTGTCCATATAGATAGTTCTTTGGTAGAAGTAACACTTGTTTTAATTAGTGAACATGGGCTAGGCAATTACTTTTGAGAACTCCTTGGAAGTCCATGGCTGTAATGTAGTGCCTTCTTACTCTTTCTAGAACTAAGGAATGTGGATCGAGATGATCGAGAGCGTCACCGAGTAGGCTGTACATGTGTAACTCTTAACAAGCTTACTCCTTCGATGATCACTGACCATCAAGGACATTTACGTGCGTTGAGGATTGCACAATGGAAAATCTCTCGTTCCCGTCATTAAGACATTTGTCCTGGCAAATAGCTATCTCATATCCACAGCTATTTGAGCGTGATCGTCCCCGCCCGAATTAATTGTTAAGTCTAGTCACGATCAAATTGCGAGTCTCAACACTTTCTCGAGGTGGTACTTTCGGCCCAGCACGGGGGTTTTGTATTGAGATATGTGGACAGTCCACACTACAGTCAGCCGCAGTTGTTTAGAATGGGTCCCAGGTGACTCACATCTTGCATTTGAACCGGCATGACTATCGTAGGTCACGAATAGAAACGGTTCGTTAGCACGTTGTTTTGGCAACCAGTACCACTTTTGGTTCTTGTTATATTTCAGGTGGTAGATCTCCTGTACCCATGTAGGGTACACCCTGTCAGTAGCAACGAGATCGCAGCCCTCTATAGTAGAGTAGTCACAGAGTGCGAGTGGATTATCTTGGCATTCTGGTAAGGTCGAACGCCACGTGCTGGCATATCTGCTTAGCAAGATATTGTTTCACTCTATTTAGAAACCTACTTGATTAGCCGAAAACGATAATCGGGCTTGAGATATTCCGATCTCTCTTGTTTCCTAAGAATCCGATGAATCATTGCAGCAACCGTGTCGATGGATATATCTTGCCGACGATCAGTCATAGCCCAAACGAGGATCGTGAATTTTATACCAACGTGTGCTCCGACTGCAGCTCCTTCCACGAGCATGCGGTCGTTTGGGTCATATTCCTCTAATATCATAGGAGTATTCTTTCGCATCTTGAAATGAGTCAGTATATGTCTCATATGTGTTGGTTGTGCCCTTTAACCTTGAAATCATAGCAATGAACGTATTCTGCTTTGAAAAAATCTTTGAGCAACTCTTCGCTTTCTCTACAGTAGCTTGCAGCTGCTTCCGGCTCCGACCCTTCTCTTGGGATGCATATCGATGTGTGGTCGACGTAGCAAAATCCATTCGTCTCAAGGCTTATGTCTTCTCTACCACGCATGCTTTCGACTGTAACAAATTGGCTGTCCCACTGCACGTTTGAAGTTTTTATTCCTGCCTTTTCGAAACCACCTCTAGAAAGAGGGTGCATGACAAAAGGTTTTTCGGTCACATACAGAGGATCGTTGGCAATAAAATCAATATTCGTGTCGATATCATCATTGAGAGGGTGCATCGTGAGATCTGAAGCTGCATCTTCTAGTTTACCAAACCAAACATGAATTTAATGACACTGATGACCACGTGCAAAATTGTAGCGACGAACTTTTCAATCATACCATTGGAGAGCTTTCTCGGCCAATTCCGGTTCTGCAGCCTCATGGACGAAATTCCAGCTGGCTCCATAAGATATCATTACCGCGTGCAGAATGGATGATAAGTAAGGGAGATATGGTTGGTCCACGTAGACGATGAATATGCAATAAGAAGGCAAACAAAACACTGTCAAGCTAGTTGAGCTGTAAAACTAACCGCCAAGTCAATTCGTCGTTTGTCTACTAAGAATCTGACTCTCTTTGTAAGGTGGCGGGCTCCACGCACCAACCTTCTTGAGACCGTGCGCGAGGCGCGCTAGTGGGATGCGGTAGACTGTCATGAATCGATCCCAGATCCCGTTCCGTAGGATTAGCCTTGTCCGCTTGCGCGCCTCGAGTACGGTCTCACTATGGGTGTGGTCACTACAGACTCGTTGCCTGATCTATTGAATATTTATTCTCATAATCGAAGTCCTGAAAATGGCTCGCAAGAAGGAATACAAGGTCGTCGTGACAGGAGCAGCGGTAAGTTTCAGGATTTAAAGCTTTCGAATCTCGATTTCGTTCTAGAACTGATAGCAAAGATATGTAGCCCTTCAAGGAATATGAGCGAAATCCTACGCAAGATGTGAAAGATATGCTACCAACTCGTATTGAGCGAAACCACAGGATTCCTATTACCATCATAAAATTTCCTAAGGACTTTAGAAACGTCATTACCGATATGGATATTATTCCAAAGATGTGGAACGGCCAGAAGCGCGTCTACGATGAAGATTGCGAAGAAGGAGACAAGATATACATTGATGCCATGCTCCATCTGGGCATGAATTTTGATGAGTACTGGCAGATTGAGAGGGTTGCTCGTCGAGATGGTTATGATTGGGTCGGTGACGATGGAGTCCCGTTACCAAAACATAATGGCGGTAAAGGAGGGAGATGGGAGGGCCTGCCAGAAGTCCTGAAGCCCATGTTTGACATTGAACATATAGTACGTCAGGTCAATCAAGATCTCCCGGTAAGTCGTTTTTGTCATGGCTAGCTTCGGTCTCAACGTTCTTACCGATCCAGGACGTACCTTTTAAATCGTCAACAGACGCAGGGCTTTTGTATTGTGAATTTATTTTCTACACAAGTCTCGCAGCTTTATACACGCGAGATGAAGATTCAAGGGTTACCTTCTTACACCATGCTGGGAAGAAAATAGAGCCAAAAGATATCAAAGTTGGCGCGCAGGTAGCTGAGGCTGTTATCTGCTCTCTGATTGATCAGATAGAGAAGAACAGCACTTGCCAATTGCGAAGCTTGGCCTAACTCTACTGTGTCTCGAGTTCGACTTATGAAGTAGTTATCTAATTGGGAAGGATGGGAATAGCGCACGTTCGCCAAGATGATCGGCCTAATAAGAATTGGAACTTACCGAATGATTAGATATATCTGTAGTACGCTGTTGCTTCGATCGTCGATTCCTCTGTATCTAACTTCACTTACTCGGACTCTGGGTTATCTGGAGATCTACTCCATCGCAATACACCTGCCAGTCATATAGCGTTATCTCATTGCTTTTGTGGCTTTACATCACCGCTCCATATCTGTCCTAAACCCCTGCTTGGTTTCTTTCCCCATGTAAGGTGTCCAGATGACAACGGCTCGAGTGATTATGTGCTTTATCTGCCGTCCATTCAGGAGCTCAAATGAATGGAATTTGTCATTCAATAAACTATCTGAGCGAGATAAGGAGAGTCATTAGTTTTACCGATACAGTGAACTCCCGGGAGATCACACTCCATATGAGGGCTGATTGCTACCCTTGATCGAGTCCAGACTTGTGGCATGGCTTTCCAATTGGACATTGAGTCCTATGACTATCTATATAAGTGGGTATGACCTCACGATAAATGTGCCTCAACACAACTCGTTCTGCTTTATTTGTGTTTAAAGAGATCATTAAATTTCGTACCTAACATCACAAGATCTATACTGCCCTCACCATGTCTTCTCCCCGACCTGAACTGATTTCCGAACGGCAAGATTTTGATCTTGCGTTCTTGACCAACCGATCCGGGTACCCCCAAACCCAAGCAAGCTCGCAAACCTGGCGCTCGCAAAGCAAGTTTGTGTTTGGAGAACACGAAGACCAAGATGAGGGCACTGATGTGGCCAGTCATCTGGTTCGTGGTGGAAAGTTTTACGTGGCGGCGACCGGCGGAGCTCAAAACTAAAGGGAGAGAGTCTGTGAGTTTAGACATTCCTACCACATTCCTACCTGCCTAGCACATTTACTCATAGTACGTGCCAGTATCATGTTCTGCTTAATACAGCGAAGCGTTTGACACTTCGTCAATTAGGAAAGGCACTACACTTCTGCTGGGGCATTTGAAGACATTTGGTTCACTCCTTTAAGTATATACGGTAATTTGATCTGAATTGCTACTTTGACGTACAATGGAATATTTGTTGACCCGTCGTGCTTCGCGAGGATCTTTATCTGCTTCTTGATGACATCACAATCTGTGCGATGCCAACTAACACCTGAACAAAGCTCAGTAATATGGATAAAGCTCCAACGACTAGTACTGCCCTGAAAGTAAGAAGTCGCTCAGGATCACGCTCATCGTTCCAGACTTCTGATAGGTTGCGTGGTCTCTGATTTATACTATAGTTCTCTAGTTCCAACAGGCGGGCTCCGAGGTGTGGGAAATTAATTCGAGCATTATAGACACCTCGCTCCCGAATGAGCGCTTTGGTTCCATCAAAGTCATTAATGTCTTTGTCTCCGCAGAGTGTATCTAGGAGAGGATCGATTGAGCCTTCGAATTTTGCGCCCTTTCGCTCTTTTCTTCTGTACAATTGCCGTGATGGAAAATGTTGGCCGAACAATAAGCGATAGCTGAGTAGAACTTCGCTCAAGTATGCTTTGGCTACCATACCGTTGCCGTTTCTACACCCGTGCTGACATAAGTGACTTTTGTACAGTCTGTAAAGGTAAATGTAAGCAATCACTCATGGAATTGCGTAGGAAGTGGGTTATGCCTTACAGGTCAATCAGAGTCGCTTCATCTTTTGAAAGGCATACTCTAGCACAGACAGAGGGCCAGCGAAACAGCTTCAGAGTCTTTTCTCGGCTGTACCGATCGAATTCACAATGCTTGGATAGGTCGTCGGTCCATAAGAGAGTTACATCGCCGAGTTTAGAAAGGGAGAAGAAGTTCAGATGGGTCACTGCGAGCAGCGTTGGTTGGCCGTCTGACCGATCTGTTCCTGGTGGGCATGTAATTGGCATCACACCAAAGCTTCTCAGTAAAGCCCCCACGGGTCTTTGAGAAGATTGTTCCAAGCTCCCTTTTCTACTGGGTTTAGTCCGTAATGTGTCTCCACTAATCGCAAAATCGCTACTAGTTGGACCCATATCTGCCGTATATAAGAGGGTAGACCAACCTATTGTGGCAAACACGAAATGTCTCATGATATTCTTATAGGGCTCACCACTCGTGGTGTCTATCTTGAACTGGCGAAATACTTTGTCCACAAGGTCATCTGTGGTCGTTTGAGGTGTCATTGACTTCAGGAAAGTGATTATTGCAGTAGAAAGCTCTAGCTGCAGACTCAAGTAGCCTTCCACTGAGCGCTTGACGAGAAGTGAATTCAAAACCTCTCTGGTTGTTGCCTCATATTTTATCATCTCTTTGCAGATTCGTTGTACAAAGAGATCGATTCCATCATTGAGGGAAGCTGTGTCGCTCCTCGGCCCACAGCATGTCTCAGCGTAAGCATTTGTCGTCTTGCTGCTAATCTTCCAGTGGACAAGATTCGATAGTGTGTGATGTCGGCTTCGTCTTCTGGCCGCAAGGTTCCAGCTCATCGTTGTACTCAAAAGGATCTGTGTAATAGGTATAACAATGGTAACATCGCACTGGGGTCATGGCTTCAAGGCTACCTTTGAACCATTTACGCCGTATGCAGTACTTCGCAGCACCGCAAGGCTGTGATCCTTTGGTTCGCTCCCCTACAGTGTGCTCCCATAGCTGGGAAACTCAAACGGTGGCCTCCGATAGGCAAAGAGAGTACAGCAAGTATGTGGACGTGGCTACAGATGTTTCATTGATACCTCTCCGACCAGCCTAGCTGAGTTGCGGAGCCAGCGATGTGATCGGTGATCGGCCACATGCTGCAGGGATGCAACCTTATGATTGGTGACGTAGATTAGCCTTTTTGTCTGCCTTGCGTGATACCGCTTCCCAGTCTGCCACCATACATAAGTTGTTCGCCTCGTCTCAAACTCTGGGCTACTAGGCACCTCATTGCTCTAAGCGGCCGGGTCTTGACTGGCACGTTTAGGTTGGACAATGCGTCTCTGTTACCCTTTCTCTACGGTAGGCGACGGTATGGCAACTTAGTGAGTACTGCTATGCGTAATTGTTCGTTCTAACATTAATATCATACTAGTGATGAGATCTATGTGCAATCTTGGCAGGAAGCACTGAAGAAGTGCGAAAGAGTTCTAGAGAAACACGACCATGACCGCGCTCTCCGGGTCAAATCTTTGCAGAATTTTCGTACAGAGCTGAATTCTCTCTTGACTGAATTTCCTGATGAGGAGCCAAGGAGGGCTATCACGTTGATACAGCCAACATTAGATCACTACGAAATCTTCGCTCAGAATTTTGTCAACATGATGCAAAATCCCGTTGATACTAGTATGATGTGGGGTCTACTTTTCATCGTTTTCAAGGTTCGTACATCTACCACTAATGTCACTGGCTATGATACTGATTGATAAGCTCGCTCTCGGTAGTACTGGACCACTTAGCCCACTGAGACGGGTGAGCAGATGGTTGGAAAAGATCGGGCACAAGCTTAGGACCTCAAATGATTGCTCCGACCGGATCATAGATGTAGAGAAAGTCAAAGGTGATACGGTTGAAGTCAATAAAGAGATCGTATTACTCTGGCTAAATGTGATTATGACCTTCAGGCTTCAAGGTGGTCGTGAAAGTCAGTATCCAATCCTCCTACCTATATTGCAAGTTCCTGTTCGCGCGTATTTAACACTAATATAGCTCAGCTTGACGACTGCACATGGGAAAGTCTGACACGCTTTTATAACACCGCTTATCAGAACATCGACGATGCGATTAAGCGGATTGAGAAAGTCGCGGACATGGCGGAGAGACAAGCACGCCATATGAACGAGCTCGCCCTCTTCCAGCGTTTGCTAACTTTGGAAGAGACGAGAAATGAAGAAGCTAATCTAGAGTGTGATACGCTTCCTGTAGCGCAAAACAAGCAGTTCTTTGGGCGCAAAGATATACTTCATAAGCTGGATGAACATTTAAGCCCAACGAATACCACTGCTCGATTGGCGTCCATTGCTCTCTACGGGCTAGGTGGTATCGGAAAGACACAAACCGCTCTCGCATATGCTTACTCCAAACTTCATGACTTCGATGTTGTGCTTTGGATTTCTGCAGAGGACTCTTATTCTGTTCAGCAAGGCTTCAGTCGTGCGGCGCTGGAGGCTCTCAAGCTTCCTCAAGCAAAGCCTCACGCATACCAAGAGAACATGATTCTCGTTCTCAATTGGCTGCAAAAGACTTGTATGATACACCGTGCGCTCTGCATCCTTATGTGCTAAATTTATCTAGCTGCGAAATGGCTTCTGATATTTGACAATGTTGATAGTCATGAGGTCATTGACGACTGTTGGCCAGCAGCTAAACATGGTTCAATTCTTGTAACGACAAGAGACGTAGTTGTTGCAACGTTGCCCATTGAGACCGGTGTTGAGGTCAGCGAGTTTGAGCCAAAAGAAGGAGCTGAATTTCTTATCCACACCACGCCCAGGAGGCGACGTATGGACGGCGAGTTCTCTGCTGCCCATCAGATAGCAAGCAATCTTGGAGGGCTACCCCTGGCACTAAACCAGATGGCTGCACTGATCAACGCGCGAAATTATTCTCTTGCAGACTTCAGCGCTTTGTACAGCAGAAACAGCCAAAGACTTCACAAAGAAAAAAGGAACGGATACAAGTATTTAGGGTACAACTACAGCTTGGACACAGTCTGGGAATTGTCCTTCAATGCCCTCGGCGATGAAGCTCGAGCTTGTCTTGGGGTGTTGAGCTTCTTGGCTGCTGATTCAGCGCCCATTGCATTGTTCACAGACGTTGAACCTGGCAATTTACCAGACATACTGTCATTCTGTAAGGATGAGCTCAGGTACGTGTTTGAATTATTTGTTGGGCTTTTGCTTTAGTATTTGCTAAGATCAAGTAGTTTTGATGATGCCCTAGAGCAGCTCACGCATCACGCGCTCATTCGGAAGAACATAGATGAGGGAACTTTCCGGATACATCGACTAGTACAATCTGAGTACCGATCCAGGATGGAGAATCCGCAAGAACAGTTTGAAGCAGCCACCAGACTTCTTCTAGAGAAGTTCCCGCCCGAGCGGTCCAACCAATATAACGATGAAGAGTGGCTGATATACGAAAGATATATCCCCTCAGTACTGGCCCTAGTTCGTGATTACAATGATTCACAGAAGAACAAAAGTCGCATAAAGCCCAACATGAACTTCGTCAAACTCCTCGCAAATGCGGTCAAGTAGGTCTTGTTTGAATTGTAGTCTAAATCGAATCCTCCTGCTAAATAGTATATAGTGCGATACATGATAACGATACTACGAACGTGATACCTGGCCTGCTGGACACTTCAGATGACGCGTACTCGAAATGTTCAGATGATGAACGGGATCGCTTACTGTTGGCTTTTCTGTTATCCCTTAAATGTATGCACCATTTCTCGACAGCAGAATTTGCGAGGGCAGAGAAAGAAATGACTGAAGGGCTCGAGATTCGGTTGAGGCTGCTAGATCCAGATGACCTGCTCATTTCACTTTCATACAGCTGGCTTGGTATGGCCGTCGGTGCTCAGTTAAGATATGCCGAGGGTCTCGATTGGCTCCTCAAAGCGGGAGAAGTCCTCGATGGCCCAGCCGGAAAGATACCGACTCGACGGATGGTGTGGGGCTACAACATAGCATGCAATTACTACTGCATGGGTCGCTTTGAAGAAGCTGAAAGACACCTTGCCAACGCTCTGGCTGACGCTGACAGGCTAGGAAGCTGGTACATGCATGTATAGTAGGTGCTTCCTATCGACATGTAAGACTTCTACCTAATGATAACTAGTGGGCATCTAACCTACACGTCACTCCGAACGCGTATGAGGGACTTTAAGAGCGCACAACGTCATGTACACAAAGCTAAAGAGGTTCTCGAGATTTCAGGAAGCTCGGCACGCTTTAGCTGGCTGAGCTCTTACTGTGCTTATCGAGCTGGCGATGTAGCGTTCCATCAAGGTCGGGTGGCCGTTGCTATGTAAGTACTACGGAAACGAGGGTTTCGCTTATTGACACACCTACAGAGAAGAGTCGGAAAAGGCTATAGCCATTGGAAAGTTAACTAAAGTACCAGCTAGTATCCTAGCTCGGTGTACGCATGCTTACTCTAAAGCCCTTGCTTGCGATGCGACCCGGCGTGAGGACTCAGAACGACAACGGCAAGAGGCACGGAGATTACGAACACAGATTCCAGGTGGAGGAGGTGACTTGGATGACGAAAGCGATGAAGCGTTTGAAAGACTCATAAAGATGGACCATCGTTAAGATATATCTTAAGAGCGTGTCCATTCATGCTCTTATGTTCGATCACTTATAACGTATTTTAGCCTTAGTCTTGCAAGGCAAAACGGAATCCTAAGCTTGGATGCACTACTGTATGTATTGATGACATGTAAGAAGTTAAACTATCGACTAACGCGGTATTACACCCTCATTTAAACCTTCGTCTATAACTTGTTATGCCGTCTATAACTTTTTCAGCTCGACTCTTAGCATGCACTAGAAGGGTATCAAAAGAGATCTATATAGATAGGTAAGTGCTACTAGTCCATTAGCGTGCAACCCGCATCGGAGCCAATTGAATTAATCATTGTTATTAAAGTAACACTAGGAACAGCTTCAACCGTTAACGCTTAACCTGAAAGAAATGCTATAAGATATCTTAACGATGGATCATCCGTTGAGATTGGCTTCGTTTCTTTAAGGTTGTCCCATTTGTACCCATAACGAAGAGCAATGCCTACCAGCCTTGCCAATTTGAGGTTCTCTTTGAAATCCAATGTAATTGTCTTAACACCAGCATCTTCCTCGAACTTTCTCCAAAAAAGCTCCTTTAGTTGCTCATAATTACCGAAGTAATGCCAACCCGTTCCATCCATATACCCGAAAACGTTCTCCACGCCCCAAAGTGCGAGGCCGAAAGGTTGAATGCTAGCGTTCGCCCAATCTATGACTCCCGTAAGATTTCCCGTTGCGGAGTCAACAAGTATATTCATTTCGCAGAGATCGTCATGGGTCAGAACTAGAGGATAGGAATCTGAAAATAGTATCCCGACGTTATTAGCAAGGTCGGTCATCGTATCCGAGAACGGGGAAGGTAGTGTCTTAGATAAGAGCCTTAGCTTCTGTTCCATATCATTGCGACAGGACGTAACTTCTAGCTCATTCAACTTAAGCGGCCGCTTCCAAGACAGTGCAAAGAACCTAATTACAATTATAATCTTTCGAGCCAGGCACCACCTGGTACCAACGTACCTTGCAAGATCAACGACAACATTATTTTGCCAAATGCACATTTCTTTCGACATTCCATTCAAGGATGGAAATGCCATTCGTGCTTCGATGTAAGTGACACCCGGGAGATTGTCCATCACGTAAACTCCAAGACGTGATGGATTGCCAATGTGGCCGTGATGAACACAAGCTGCAACAAGCGTCCCAAAGGTCAAGCGAGCGCACTCGAGCACATGCATATCCAGATATTCAGAGCGGAACTGTATAATCTTGGCTAGCCCAGGGCCAGCACGTATAGTGTAGCTAAAAGCCCCTTGGATACGACATGGCTGAAGGGGGGGTCCTACTAAGGACAGAGCAAGCTCCTCGCACTGCTGCCGGTTGACCCCCCGGAGCTCATGGAAGAACTTCGCGATGGCGTTATCTAATGAATATATTTGTGCCATGATAGAACGTCCGTAGACAGGGAGAGGTAAAAGTTCGACCGTGAAGCCTAATAAGGTAGGGAAGATACTAGCTCTACTATGGGAACTTTGGTAGATTTAACGTAGGCAAAATTAATTAACAAATCTATCTAATCTATCTACCTACTATATATAGTAGTCTAGTTCTAAATAATATCTAATTAATATAGATAATCTAATAGAAATTCTATATCTTTTCTCTTCTAATTATATAAGCTTCTCTAAGATATTAAAGATAATTAATAGAACTTAATATAAGAATAGAGTAATTAGATAGTAGTATAGCTAGATAGAATAATAGAGTATATTCTATTATAGAATAAATTACTACTAAACTCTTTTATCTATTTATCTCTAGTATAGTATATAATATAATTAGATAAGTCTAGATACTATCTATATATAAATCTTTTCTTAGAAATATTTATTTCTTTAAAAAACTCTATAACTTATTATAGAATTTTTTTAATTATTAGATATTTTACTAGTTTCTTATAGATATAGATTTATATTAATCTATTAGAACTTAGCCTTAGATAGGACTCGACCTACACGTACCTTAGCTAACAGGGTTAGAAGGTAACGTAAAGGGCGGTAAATAGTTACGTACTAGATAGATCGGCGTCCCTTTGCGTATATACTCTTAGATTCCTACTAAAAGGGTTTAGTAGTAATTTATTCTATAATAGAATACACCCTATTATTCTATCTAACTATACTACTATCTAATAACTCTATTCTTATATTCGAATTACTCTCTATATAGTACTATAGTTAAGATAGTCTAACTAGAACCGAGAAGGTCGACACGATCTACTATAGGGATAAGTAATACTATATTAAATAATAGGGATCCTCTATAATTAGTATTAATCCCGGCCGTTTCTAACCAAGAAGTAGAAATATTAGACCGAATCACGGAGCTTTTAGATAAAGAAATAGTAGATACACCAAGTAACTTCTAATAATATAAAGCCGGATAACGAGTCATGGCGGAGCTACGTAAGGTATTATAATAAACTACCGCCGAACTTTAGGAATACATTACGAATTAGGCTCGAGAGATTTAAACCCTTAAAGAATAGATAGAACGCGCGAAACTCCTCGTAAAGAGATAAGAACTTAAGGAGTCTCTTAAAGAACTACGCCGAACGATAGAAGGTAGACGACTTCCTATACTAATTTAGGCGGAATTAGTTTACCTACTATTAGAGTTACGATAATCTACCGTATACCTGGCCGCTTCGTTACCGATTTACCCTACTCCTTCTCTAGATATACTAAAATCTAAAGACCCGACTATATTTATAGAGAAGAACTAAAAGGAGTAGAAAGACTAGAAGAGAGACTACAAAAAGTACTTCCTCGATAACCCTCTACTCTTTTCTACTAAAGTATAACGTATTTCGTTCGGAGAACGATACCTAGGCTTATAATCCCGTGATTAATAGAATAGATAGAAGGAAGTACAGCTACTATCTACGATAACCTAGGAATATTTAGCTATATTTATACTAAACACCCTTAGAACGGATAGAGAACGTAAAAGAAAGGCACTATCTAAGTTAAGAAGCGTAGTATAACGACCGAACTAGATATCTACTTAACTACTATAATACCTCTAAAACCTATAGGATAATATCCCTACGCTATAGGAAAATATTTATATATTCTAGTTTTATAAAGTACTACTTCCGTTAATCCGCGAAAGACTAGGAATAGTATTATTAAGTTTTAACTATCTACACGAATTAGAGGAGAAAGCTAATAAACACTACCGCATCCTTAAGGAACGCGGCTCTCTAGGTAAAACCGACGAACTCTATACGGGTTAGAAACGAGGTTAATTAAATACGTTTAATTAAGAGTAACCTTACCGCGATTAGTACTAGAAGAGCGTAAATCGGGGTAGAAACGCGTTAAGAGGATACTAAAATAATTAAGGCGGTACTTCTTAACACGGAAAAGAATAAGATATAGACTTAAATATAACGCCTATCGTAAAATAGTAGGATTATAGCGCACTTCATTACTATAAGTATAGAGAAATAGAATATATTTTACCTAACTATAAGAATCTAAAAAAAGAATAGGCTAGTACACGAGACCTAATCGCGTTCTTAGCTAAATTATATATACTTAGAAGGAGCTATAGCGCCTTCCGGCGAGTAAAGACCTAATATTACTAAAAGTATTATTACCTATAGTAAATGGTAATAAAACTATATAGACCCTCGTGGATACTAGTATAGAAGATAACTATATTTCGTTAATTCTTATAAAGGAGTATAGATTATCGTACGATCTTGGTAAAGTTAGCCGAACTATTATAGTTAATAGATATAAAGTTAGAACTTTAGGTAAAGCTATAACGAATTACGAAGTTCATGACTCAAAGATAATAAAATAGTAGATATCTAATAAATTTATCGTGGCTAATATTAGCTAATAGAATATAATTCTAGGGATGCCTTAGCTTAGACGCCTAAACCCTATCCTTAATTTTTAGAAGAAGATATTAACGTTCCGATAATACCGTAGTAAATTATACTAGTAAGTTATAACTATTAGTAAGGAGGTATGGAACCTTACCGTGCGGACCCGATTATTACTAATCTATCTTACGTTCTTATTAATTATCGATAAAGATAAGGATAATAGTAATAATTAGGGCGAAGACATGCTACCCGACGTATATTCGTAGTATATAGATATGTTTTCGGTAGGAGATATATTACTTCTCCCTAATCACGGGCCGTATAAGCTAAAGATTAAGCTTAAAGAGGGAGTAGATATCCCTTATAGCCTACTTTACCTACTTTCGAGACTAGAACTCGAAGTTCTTTATAAATATATTAAAGAATACCTCGGAAGAGGCTAGATACGTCGTAGTACGTTATCGGCTAGCGTATCTATTCTCTTTGTAAAGAAGAAAGACGGAAGTTTACATCTATATATCGACTATTAGGTACTAAATATAGTAACTAAGAAGAATTATTATCTATTACCGCTAGTTAGTAAATCTTTAGACTAATTAACGAAGGTAAAGTACTTTACGAAGCTAGATTTATAAGATATATATTACCGGCTTCGAATTCGTCGCGGAGATAAGTAGAAAACCGTATTTCGGACTAGATATAGTTATTTTAAGTATACTATTATACCATTCGGGCTAATAAATGCGCCAGGAGCGTTTTAAGAATATATTAATACTATACTCATAGGATTACTTAACGTGATTTACGTAGTTTATCTTAATAATATACTAATTTACTCTAATAGTATATAGAATTATAAAGAACACGTGAAATCGGTACTAAATCGTCTAAGGTAGTATAAACTCTACGTAAAATTATCTAAATATAAGTTTTACTAATAAGAAGTTAGGTTTCTTAGCTTTATTATAATATATAGCGGCCTAAAAATAGAGCCGGAGTGTATAAAGACTATTATAGAATAGCTAGAACCTACTACTATACGTTAAATTAAAATATTTATAGGTTTTATAAACTATTATTATAAATTCATTATAGGCTTCTTACGAATTACGGCGCTACTTAATAAACTTATAGAGAATGGCGGTAAAATCCCTATAGGTAGGCGAGTATAGCGTAAAGCTAAGTCGGTCGAGATATAGTTAACGCCGGAAGCGTGAGATGCGTTCCGATTATTAAAGAATTACTTTATAACTACGCCGATTCTTAGGTATTTTAATCCCGAGAAGTATATTCGGGTCGAAACTAACGCGTTAGAATTTATAATTACTAGAATTATTAGTTAACCGTATAAAGATACGAAAGATAAGGTGTAATAGTACCCGGTTACTTTCTTTTCCTATAAAATAGCGGATATAGAGACGCGTTATAACACGTACGACTAGAAACTACTCGTAATCGTCGAGAGTTTTAAGTAATAGTAATATTATTTAGAAGGCTCTATATATTAGATTAAATTATTATTAGATCACGCAAATCTATATTACTTTATATTAACTAAGGTCCTTAATTACTAATAAGTACGTTAGGCTAAGTAAATATTAATATTTAACTTTAAAATCTTATATAAAGCTAGAAGAGAGAATAAAGCTAATCCTCTATCGCGGCGTAAAGATTATAAGAAATTATTATAGAATAACGTAGATAGTCGGTGTAAGTTAGACTATACTATACTTTAGATACTATAAGACTAGTTATCTAATAGAATACTAGAAGCTAGGACACTTTCGGCGATTCTCCGTAGGAATTAGAGCGGGTATTAAGTAATCTAAATAAACGTCTAAGAAACTAAGAAAACCCTTAAAGACTTAATTAAATCTATCTAGAATTCCGATATATTAGTAAAGAAAGTTATAAGTATAAAAGAAAGCGCTATAGATCTACCGTGGTTATTAAGGTAGGAACGACGATCGGACGCGATCTACTTCTAAGGCCGACTCTACGTGCCGGAAGGCGGCTTATAAATTAATATTTTAAGGGAATAGTATAATTACGCGTTAGTAGGGCACTTCGGCATTATAAGAATAGTTAATTTAATCCGAAGGACGTATGACTAGCCGGGTTTTTATAAATATATAAAAGACTATATAAAAACGTATAACGTTTACTAGCATACGAAAGTATATAGACACTTACTATATAGTAAATTAAGGCTATTACCTATGCTAAAGGAGGCATAGAAGGAATTATCGATAGATTTTATTATAGATCTACCCCTAAGTAAGTATTCTAGGTATATTTATAATAGTTTACTCGTAGTTCTAGATAGATTTACGAAGATATTATACTATATCCCTATAAGAAAGACGATCTAAGTACCGGATCTTATAGATATACTACTTCGTAATATAGTCCGGCTCTATAGTATACTAAACAGTATAGTTTCGGATAGAGATCCGTAGATAACGTCTAAATTTTAGAAGGATTTCTACTATACGCTAGGAATTAAGCGGAAACTTAGTACTATATTCTACCTATAAATAGATAGGTAGACGGAGCGGTAGAATTAGATAGTCGAGGCGTATTTACGCGTATATT